TAAAATATTCTTGTAGCAAATTCCGAATATTTTCATTATTTGAAAGATATTCGGAATAAAAAAATTTGTATAAATTAGTAGGGGCATTCTCAATGAAGTTTGCCAATTGAATACTTTCTTCTTTTTCAAGCATTGTATTTATGTTTATTTCATTTGCCCACATTGAAAAAGGGCTTTTTTTGTCCACTATTCTCCTTTTGTTTCCTAAAAAAATTTTTTTATATTTCATTTTTGAGTGAAGGTAAATAATGTTAGAATTATTAGAAACGATTAAAAGATGTTTCAAGTTGTAATAATTTCCCCATTAATACTTCTGTTTTTTAAATTTTTACTTTAATTAATTAGTATTTCTAATTTTTATTTATTAAATTTTGACTTAAATTAACTGTAAATAAATATCCTTATATTTAAATGGTGTTGCGACAATTGAGGATACGCACTTGAGGATATGACAAATGAGGACGACAATTGAGGATCTGACATATGAGGACGACATATGAGGATATGCCAAATGAGGACGACAATTGAGGATTAAAATAATAATAAAAAACGGTGATCCTTGACCTTTTAAAATTCAAAAATGTTCGCCTGCGGCGCTGGAAAGAGAAGAATTCTTCATTATTGGTCTTCCAAGTGGGGGTCTTCCGAGTTTTATGGATTTTTCAAGTCTTTTTTATTTTTCATTTTTATCCTCATTTGTCAAATCCTCATATGTCGTCCCCATTTGTCGTCATATGTCAGATCCTCAATTGTCGTCCTCAAATGTCGTCCTCATTTGTCATATCCTCAAGTGCGTATCCTCAATTGTCGTACCGCCATTTAAATTCGCTTAATCATGTAGAAAATTTTAAAAGTTAAAGATTAACCAAAAATATTACTTTGAAAAGTAAAAATAATAGGAATGTATCGTTCAATATTTTTTCGATTCTCATAGTTTAAGTTGTGATCGAAATCTATTAATAAAGCTAAATCACGTTCAGCATTCCTTACATTTAGATTATTTAAAACTGAAAAAGATAAATAAAATTTATTTTGGTTAAATTTCGAAGGAAGACCGATTATTTAGTTATTCCCAATATAAGACAAGTATTTTTTATTTATCATCCATTGATAACTCCTAAATGGTCTTTACTTCCATTTAAAGGACCTTGGGATTGTGGTAATAGTCTCGTTTCCCAGCCCCATTTTTTCCTCCCAATTTTCTACCCTATGTTTGTACGGAATGGTCAAATTTTCCCCTTTCTTTCATCAAATTTGCCTTTGCATATTTTGCCTAAAAACAATCAAAAAGATTAATTTTTTATTCATTTCTTTCACAAGGAAGACAAAAAAGAACCTTGTCTTGCTCTACAATTTCTGGTTGTACACCGTCAACATCCATATCTTTCGTCTTTCTTAACACTTATTGTTGTTCGACCCCCACATTTTGTAGCAAGTTCTCTTTCCATGAAGAAGTCCAAGCTTCTCAAGCCATGCATCGAAATCATTATCACTTAAACGTAATTTTTCATATAAATCAATAGGTTTGAAATTCTTTAGTTCTTCCATTTTTATTAATTGGGAAAATGATTCTTCTCATTACTCTAATACTTTTTTAAATATCACAAATTAATCTTTTTGATTGTTTTTAGGCAAAATATGGAAAGGCAAATTTGATGAAAGAAAGGGGAAAATTTGACCATTCCGTACAAACATAGGGTAGAAAATTGGGAGGAAAAAATGGGGCTGGGAAACGAGACTATTACCGGGATTGTTATTAAAGGACTTAAACCAACTTACATTTGTTTCGACCTTCTAAGTTTGGAAAATGTACTACTTCCTTGAATATATTCAAATTATTGAGAAATTTATTTAATTTGTTGGCTTTTACTTCAAATACGTCATAGGCTTTGATATACTCAAAAATAGATATTTGTTCTCTAAATTTAATTTTTGGCTCTATCTGAAAGGAGGTGCGGGATCATATTTTTTCCTCCTTCCTTACACTAGTCAGTCTACCTTTCATTTTTCCTTAATATGTATGAAAAAATGGTCTGCCTTTCTTCCTTCCTTATTTTACCCAAACTCCTTATGGCATATTCAAATAAAAAAGGTCATCTTTTATCATTTTTGAATCGTGTCAGGCTAACTTAAGAAAGAGACAAGACACGGACTATACCGAAACACAAAACAGAAAACACCGTCTTACAAAATCAAGGAACGACCAAATATCAGAAAGACCATGACACGGAATGGCCAAAAACTGACCGAAGATCTGGTCCGTGATTTGGTAAGACGGTGACTTTTACAATTTGTTTTGTATTTCATCTTCTGTCTGTTCGTCCTGACAATGGCATTAAGAAAAAAATAATCCTTTTCTTATTAATGTCTCTCACTTGAATATGCCACAGGGAAAATTAAGGGTGAGGTAAAGACTGACCATTTTTTCATATTAAGGAAAAATGAAATGTAGACTGACTAGTGTAAGGAAGGAGGAAAAAATATGATCCCGCACCTCCTTTCAGATAGTGCCTAATTGGCTTTTTATAGAATTTCCTTAAAGAACTTAGTAAAATAAATTTATTTTTTTGTAAAGTGTAAAAAAGAACTTTCTTGATATTTTATTAAAGATTTACTTTTTGTTTGAGAAAACTTCAATGTATATTTTTGAATTACTTTGATGAACAAAATTTTTGATAAGAACTCGGACAAGTCCTAACAAACGATAAAAAATAAATAAATTTTTTTCTTGCTGGAATGGTGTTTTGTAAAGGTGTAGAAAATCTTTAATATCTTCGTTGCTTAAATTTTTAGATTAAAAAAAATTTTTAAAATAATTTTATCGGGAATTAATAATTTCTTTAAAATTTTTATATTAAGGTAAATAAATCTATTTATAGTATAGTTATATTTTCTGTATAAATTTTATACAGAAAATATAACTTCTGTTATAGTGCCTTTCTAAAACTATTAGTTTTTTTCGGAAAGAGACGAGGTGTGTACAAAAATTTGGTTATCGAGACCGGGTCGATAGATCACTAAAGTGATAAATAAAGACTTTTAAATTGAGTAAATCTATAATTTTTTTAAATTTCTACAAATGTTACTTTTTCTATAAACTTTAAATTTGTAGACCGGAACATTTTTCATATAAAATATCAAATTATGATTTCAAAAATATTCCTAAATTTAATTAAATTATTTACCTAGAAATACTTAATAAAACTAAATTTTCTTCTATGTCATATTCCTCTTTCAAAATTTTTGAATTATCCTCAAATCTCTTCAATATAAATTGATGTATCTCGATTTGATTAAAATTGTTTATTCGTTCAGATAAATTATTAGAAAACCAAACGAGAATTTTTTCAAAATATTCAATTAACTTTAAATTATTTAATAATTTATTTAAAGAAAATAAAATTTAATTTACTATTTTTTTAGTTTTTTAATGATTCTCTGATATATTCCTAATATTGAAATTAAATAGTTTTAAAGATTACTTCTTAAAATAGAAGTAATCTTAAACATTATTTTTAAGTAAATTATAACTTTTTTATTTCAATATCAGGGCCGAAAATTTAGATAGTGGCACAGTCGATGTGCTCCTAATTAGGTATAGTTAAATTCAAATTTAAACTTTAAACGCACAGTATTAATTTTTGAAGCAATATATAAAATATTAATATCATTTTCGAAAATTGTATTGCCAAATAATTCCTTTTCTTTTTCAATAAGAATTTGTCGTATTGTTTTTATTGTGTACAAATCCTCCTCTTCGACCGAATTTAAAATTCGAATTAAATACGAAAGCTCGGTTAAGCAAAAACTGCATGTTCTACTCAACGTTTGAATATTATTGTGACCTGATCTGATGTGATCTGAAAATTTTATTCGAGGAATAGAAGAAATAAAAAGTAAGCTGTAGCTTTTCCCAGTTGTAAGCTTTTTCCATTTAGATAATTACAATATTAATGATAAAAAATATACGTTAGTTAGCCCAGCTGATACTTGGCGTGAATTCCAATAAAAATAATTAAAAAAAGATTACATATTTTTATTTTTATGTAGTTTAAAAGTTTATTTAGTAGATTAAAAATACCTGGAACTCGTTCCATTCCATTGACCAAAGTTTTTGACTTAAATAAAGCCAATATTAATAAAAGATTGGTTAGCAAAACGGAAAAAAGCATTTAAATAATTAATTAATTTTTTAATTAAAAAATATTTTAAAAATTATTTTATTTAAAAATTTATTTAATAATCAGTCGCATTTAAGTGTATGTGCACTTTGACATACATAAATGTCATAATTTTGAAATTTATTTTTTATATTGTTTAAATTTCATCATTTTTATAATGTTATGGATAGTCTAGACAAATATAAATAAAATATATAGAGTTCAAAATTTGGAAAATGCCAGATCCGGTTTCCGGATTTCAAATTTTTTTATCCGGACTTTTATCAAAATACCCGGTTTCCGGACTATCGGATCCGGAAAATCCAGATCCTGTCCGGCTTCGAACTCTAAAAATATGTATTACAGATATGCTTTTTCAACACTTCCGCCTTCCGTTTCTATTTTATTTTGCTTCCTTCCGTCAAAATTTGATTTGCAACAAAATGTTATCCTCATCTACAAACTAAAACAAAAAATAAATTATTAAATTAATTTTTTAGTAATTAAAGCTTATTACACAATTTTCGTTTAAAATTAATTTTAAATAAATTATTATTTTTCTTATTTTCCGTTGATGCTCCACAAAATATCAAACAATATATTGTTTCAAACAGTTTATCTTTAATTTAATTTTTTTAGAAGTTGATTCTAGAAAGTTTGTTTTGTAGGAGTAGTCTTGTCAAAAATTATTTAAAATATTTTATCAAATCAATAAAAATTCAAAAATATTTTAAAAATTATTAATCAGCCATTTCCGTCAGTTAACTGATAACAAATTATAATTTTTTAATTCTTTTGTAAACATAAGAAAATTTATTTTAAATATTTTTTTTGTAAAAAATGTCAACATTTTTAATTTATTTTTTAATTATTATAAATATTTGTTTAATTAATTGCTCTAAAATTTCACCAAATTATTCAACAAAAATATCTTCAGAACATTTTGAAAATAATTTTGAAGATGATTTTTCCTTTTCTTTGTTAGATGATGCAAAAATAAATTCAAAAATTTTATTTAATAAATTTGACAAAATCAGCGAAAAGAAAATTGGGAAAATAAAAGTATGAAAATTAAACAGTAATTATAGTTAATTATGAATATAAATTAACCAGGAATTAATTTTTCTTTAATTCTTGTTATATCCACATAATTGACTGGGTTCCTATTTATCACTAATCTAATAATTCAATAAAATTTAGTTTTGGATATTTATTATTGAGGTTATTTTTTATATGAGGGGGAAATATACTTGTGCATTTTTCAGTAAATGATTGGAAAAGATGTCAATCATTTGAATAAGGGGGGGGGGGGGGGGATCAACAGGATAAATAAATTTAATTAATTTAAGCCACAAATCAACAAACAATCTGCTGTGAAATTAAAAGCATACCAATTTAACAGCGATTTAACAAGAGACAAATTCTTTCCTGTGTCAGCGGCAGCATATGGAAATGAAGAAAATATTCGAAAATGTCTTAACAAAACATTTATAAATTATGAGGTTTAGATAATATATAAATTATAATTAAATTATAAATTATAGCTTATAAATTTCACTAAAGTATATTGTAATGGACATGAAAGCCAAATCTGTTCAGGATTTGTTGCTTTATCTCATGATGATAAAGCAATCATTTTGTCATTTCGGTATAATTAATTATTTATTTAAGTTTAAGTGGTGTTTAAATAACTATATAGAAAATACTGATAGATAGGGCTGTAAATTATATGGAAATCCATATTTTTTTCCTGAATTGCTTAGGTTCTGAAACGCACGAAAAACACACTTTCCGCTTTGTTTGCTTTCAAAAATGTGGACTTTCATTTCCATATTTTCCATATTTTTCCATATTTTGGCATTTCGTCCATATTTTCCATATTTTGTCCATATTTTGGCATTTTTCTAGGAAAAAGTGCCCATATTTCGACATTTTGTCCATATTTTCCATATTTTATCCATATTTCGCCATTTTTCAAAAAAATGAAAAATGTTTGGCATTTCGAAAATTTTAGACATTTATTTGGGCGCGACCATAATTCGGATCACTGCAATTCGAAACATCTCAAAATGTCCAATTAACTAAAAATACTCATTTTGTCTCATTAAAGCTAAAAATTCGTAATGTTCGCGACCAAATTTATTGAATTACGAATAAAAATTTATTAATTTTATCCATATTTCGTCCATATTTCGGGATTTTTCCCATATTTTCATCCATATTTTGAAAAATTTCATCCATATTCTAATGCATATTTTTTGGTTTTTTCGTCCATATAATTTACAGCCCTACTGATAGAATAATTTATGAAAAATAGTACATCCAACCGGTTATTGTTGCCATAAACCCCTTGGGGCGAAAAAATTGTATATAATGATTAGGGTCCGGATTTTTATTGAAATAAAATCGCAATATATGGCCATAAAATATTGAAATATATTGGCAAAATATTGACAAAAAATGCCAAAAATTATTGAAATATTGAAATAAATTATTGCTTATTTAGAGGCATTAACTCAAAGAAAGGTTGAATTTTAGCAAAAAAAACTTTATTTTGCTTTAAAACAGTTTTTGTGATGCTACAGAGAGAAAATAGTCATTTCAGGACAGAAAATTTAGGAAAAGGTACTTGGGCAATTTCAAATGGACTTAATTTTGGATGAGACATTTTGGGGAATTTGCTCAGTGGGTCATTTTGGAGTTTTTGTTCAGTGGGAGATTTTGGGGGTTTCTGTTCAGAGGGAGTTTTGGGCATACATATTAGATTTATATTTCGACGAATTCAGTATTTTTACTCTGTTGGACATTTTGAGATGAGCCAAATTGGGATGGGGTTTTTTTTCAAGGGTTGCTCATTTTCGGGTTGTCCATTGGGAAATTTTTTTCCCACTTTAAATAAGCAAGAATTTCCCCTTCTCGGCACCGCAGGCGAAAATCTTGAAAATTTTTGAGGTCAAACTTCCAAATTTTTTCACTTTTTCCGAAAAATTTATTAAAAATTACAAAATTTTGGCAAAAATTTGCAAAAATATTGAAATAATTTGTAAAAAGTGCCAAATATTGAAATAACGGGAAAATTGGCAAAATATTGAAATATATTGAAATACAGCTTTGTTCAGAATTATAATATCGAAAAACTAATAGCATATTTGGGCTTCTCTCGACAAACTGTGTTTGCAAAAAAAATATTTATTTCAATAAAAATCCGGACCCTAATAATGATGAGTATATAAACTTAGAAGTATATAACTAGATCTGCTGATTTTCTAATTTTAATAAAAAATATTCCAGAGGAACCAATTCATTCACTCAATTATTACTTGAAAGTTCTGAGATTGCCTGTAAAAGTCAAACAGAAGTTAATATTGGAGGAAAGGTATTTGATAAGAATATAGGGATAGTCCGTGATACAAGATTGGATGGGTGTTATGCTTTACACATACATTGGAACAGGGCTGGGCTAATTTTGCATTTTTTTATTTTTAGATTTCGCCCAACCCATATCCATTCATAAAATATAATTTCCTGAATATGAGGGTCCGTATTCAAAAAAGTTGGGATGTCCGGAAATTTTCGGTTAAGATATTTGATTCTGATATTCTAAGACTTCTAAGTATTTTCCAACCCTGTTGGAAGTAAATCTACATTTCTATGAAAATAGTGAACCTATAAATCATTCAGTAATTTCATTATTCACAGGTAGCTACTTATTTCACTGAGATTTATGAACAACTAAAAGCTGAAGGAATAATTGATTGTGTTAAGAATTTAATCAAAATTTATGCAGATTACGAACTTTGGGTTTAAATTATCTTCTATTTATTGTAATAATCTAATAAAAAAGGTAACAGGGCATTCTCTAGGTGGTGCTCTAGCATCACTCGCCGCAGCAGAAATGGTTTCTAGTGGATTAATTAATGCTCAAAATATAAAATTATTAACACTTGGACAGCCAAGAACGGGAAATTGGGATTGGGCTGCTGCTATGGATCAAATTGTAGAATTTTTATTTTTGATTCTATGGGAAAAAATCTTAAAGATTTAAATATATTTTCAGCTTCCTTATTATAATTATCGTGTTGTTAATCATCGAGATGTAATTGTTCATTTACCAATGCGTTTTTTTGAGGGATATCACCATTATAGTACTGAGGTTTATTTTTTGAGTTTACTGAGACATGGATATCTAGGTCCTGATTAAGTGTTTCTGATATTTTTAAAAAAAAGCTGTCTCATATTTTTCTGTGTTTGTTTTGAATACTTGATTTTTAACCGAAAGAATGATTAGAGTTCAATACACTAGTAGAGTTATGTAAATAAATGATTGTGACTGTACTTATTCAACTGTACTTATTCGACAATCATGTCCATAAAAATATTAATATATCACTTAAAATTACTTCTCGAATTTTTTTATTAATTTTTAGATTTGGTACAATAATGGAATGGATGGTGATGAAGATGGGAATGAAGATACATTTATTGTTTGTAATGATATGGACGAAGATGATGATAACTGCAGCAATTCACTTTGGCAATTAAAAATATTTTTGAAAAATAATTATTTTATTTATTTTTAGGTATTATAAGACAAGTCATCACATAAATTATTTTGGTTACAAAAATATTGGAAAGTACGGAAGAAATGGATGTTCTGGAGAAATGAATGATTAAACTTAATTTTGTAAGAAATTAACAGTAGTGTTTATGATAAGCAGTAATGGGAAAGTTCCAAAATCTCTCTGGAACCGGTTTCAGTTCTGGAACTGGAACTTTCCCATCACTGATGATAAGAGCATATTAAGAAGATATAAATGTATATTTCTAAAATAAAACTCTTAATTTGACACTCTAACGTTGTCTTCTCCCCAATGTATTTATCCAAGACAATAATTATTTTACCAAATTATTTTTCCTTAATTTAATAAAATTTTGCGTGACTTTGATCAAAATTTTTTTCAAATTAATTATCCCAATAAATTCACTTTATCTACAAAAAATATATACAATTTAATTTAATAAAATATTAATCACAAAGCTTATTTTCATTTAAAATTAATTTATATTAGAAATCTCTCAAGTTTTATTTATTACAATACTATTAAAAGGTTTAATTATAGAAATTTTGTTGGTTGAATTGTTGTTACTTTTAATATTTACAATATTATTTTTTGGTAAACAAAAAATAAAAACTTTTAATTTATTTAAAATAATTTTTGTTTCTACTAAAACTTCTTTGTTTTTAATTAAATAAACAAAAAAACTTGCTGATGAACACATTGCTGATAAAAACCCGAAAATATAGGTTATATAACCAGAGACGAGTTTTGGGTTGTCTGTGAACTAAAAAATAAAATTTTAAAAATGGAGAGGGATCGAGAGATTTAAAACAGGGCTTGTTATGTCCTAGGTCCAGACAGGGCTTACCTAGCGACTAACAGAATAACACCAAAATAAAATAATTGCTTATCCGACTAGTAAATACAGGTATGTAAAGCATATAGCTATTAATCTCTTAAGGCTGTGCAGTAGACGGCGTGGTGTAATGGCTAACACATCAGTCCGATCTAGGTCTACTGAAGATGCTGGTTCGCTCCCAGCCGCCTATTAACCTTTTGCACTAGCTCAAGGTGAGAAATAGCTATAGCCCAGCTGCTTTACTAGAATAACGAAGGTGGCAAAAGGCAAGAATGGCTAAGGACAGGCGGCGACTTTCGGCCCAGGTCAGCCAGGCTTACGGATTGCGTTTGAGAATTTTAAAATGAAAATTGCGGACAGCCCTGATTTAAAATCTAAACTGATTCCTAGTCCGTTCTATAATATACAAAACTCACATTTGCGTAGAAAAGAGCCCCAAAAGATCCACCCCACAAAAATCCATACAGAAATAATATCCAAATTGTAGTTACTGTTACTTCTAATTGTCTTCTCCAATGATTGGATGTACTTGTTGTGTCTTGGGAAGAATTTCTTTTTCGATATAAAATCAGAAATGGAATGTAGATTACTTTAAAAATTTTTGTTAAAAATTAGGTGTTTTATAGATATAAAAATTTATGAGACAAACTAAGCTATGACGTCTTTCTTCTAGTAGAATTTACTTACAATTAGTATATTCCCTTGCAGTGTTCTCGAGATTTAATTAAAGTCTACTATAATTAAAGTTCGTTTTCGTTATAAATGTTTTCTAAGGTAAAAGGGGTGCCATAAATTAATTATAAAATTAAAAATCTCACAAAATAGGAGGGCCAAACAGCTATTTGAATAAAATTGTCCAAACCAGCTGGACATTGGAGCTGATGCAGCACCCATAGAACACATTGTTATAGGCGTTATGTTATCACCGCCATAAACTTTTGTGAAAGTATCAGCAGCAATCGCAATTAATTGAATTGTGAAAACAAACAAGATTAGTTTCTAAAAATAATTTAATCAGTTTTTGGAGATACTATCGTATATGCTAAAATAATTATCCAGGGTAATTATTGTTTCAACCTCTTGCTGGGAGGGGGGTATTTAATAGGGAGGGTGTAATTATTTGAGAGAGACAAATAAATTTCAAACTAAACTCGGCTTCCAACTTTTAATGTTCATAAAATAAAAATCTAGTAGTTTTTGATAAAATTTATTACCGCATTAGCTTTCCATTTATATTTGAGAGGATTAATTACCATATAACATCGGTCTGCAGCAATGGCTAAGACAGCAATTCTTGTAGCTGTAAAGCCCATACCCATCGGTGTATTTATCTAGGCAAAATATTTTTTATTTTAAATGTAGAAATAAAGTAATAAATTAAATAAATGGCTTAAAAATGTGGGAAAATTTTTTTTGTAAAATGGAATTGAGTTAAACTTTTAATTAATAAACTGTGAATATATTTCCTCTTTTAAGAAAAGAATTCAACACAATAAAAATTTTAATGATTTTTAAAAAACATGTATTTTCTAAAATTATTTACCCAAACACAAATTAGCCGAGAATATAACAAAATTCCTTTAGAAGATGCATTTATTATATAAGTTGTTCTAATGAAATGTCCGAAAGCTTTAAATTATTTTTAGAAAAATTATTATTATTTTATAACCCAAAGTGTTCTCTTACCAATAAGAATATCAGCAAAAGACAATAGAATCATATACCATGTATATTGACTTTTCCTCAAAGTTTTGCTCTAAAAATAAATTTTAAAAATATTAAAAAATAATTAAAATATTACATAAAAAACAAGAAAAATCAGAAAAAAATTTGAGAAAAGTCCAACAAAACTTCCCAAATAGCGAATAGTATTTAATATTATAGACTCGTCCCATAGCGCATATAAGGGTCGTTGAGAGGTTGATGGTGACATTATTTTAAAAAATAAATATGAATATTTCTAATTATTTAGACTAAATAAAATTTTAAAGAAAAATTAATTTTAATTAAATAATTTAGAAATTTTCCTTATTAAATTTTAGGAAAAATCCAATTATTTATTTTACAAGTAACAAGAAAAAGCTAGAGGTTGAAAGACATAAACGAGATAGAATTTAAATTAAATTAAATAAATCTATTTATTTAATGATTAAATTAAATTAATTATTTTAAAATTTAATTTAAAAAGTTTTTTTTAATTCCTCAAAAACCTAAAAAACAATAATTGTGTCTGTTCTTTTGTTATATGAATTTCTTTTTTAGATTCTTAACTGTATATTAAGGCTTCCAGGAGATTTATACTTGAAGATAAAATTGAATGAAACTTCCTAGACCCTATTTTTTATTAAAAAGCTTCTGGAGATTTATATTAGAATCTTTCGTGTATATTCTCTAAACCTAGAATTTTTGGACGGAATTTTTATTTTGTTTGGAGATTTTTCAAATCAAACTTCTAAAATATTACCAAAAAACACATTTACTTAATTAATTTAGAGTCAACAAATAATTATTCTAATATTTTCAAATATTTTTAGATTTTTTATTAACAGGATTATTTGCTTCAGTCAATTTTACTTTACATTTTTAATGCCCCTATTAACCCGGCACTAAATTAATTTTACTTTCTTTTATTACGAATAATATTTAATAAACCTTCATATTTTATTTATATAATAATTACGCTAAAACAAGAAATTTTCTGAAAAAAAATCGTAAAAGAGCATTTTCACCTGTCAATATAGTATATACCTGACATTTTTTAAAACTTTTTATAAATTATTTATAAAAATTTTAATTAATAACTAGACGTAATAATTACTAAATTTCAGTACATAGTACATAGGTATAATTAATTATTTAAGTAAATTATTATTTTTTTTGTTTATTTGAGATTAAATAAAAAATAATTAAGTTTTTTAAAAAATATTTTTTATATTATTATTTTAATAATTTAATTTTTGATTGTTTTTGAAAAATAGAACTATTTTGCCTTGGAACGATTTTGGAATAATTTTCTCTTAAAAATTATTTTAGGTATTATAAATTAAATTAATTTAATTCAAAAGTAAAATAAATTAAATTTTAAATAATTTATTTGCACAAATTTAGTTCGTTTATTTAATTTAAATAAATTAATATATCTGTAAATAATTAAATTCTTCTGTACTAAATATTAATAATTAAATTCTATATAAAAAAAGATTACTGTAAATTGTACTAATAAAAAATTTATTTTTAATTAAGTTTGGGTGCTGTTGTTTTTGACTTTTTATAAATAAATAAATAAAATAATTTTATTTTCTTAGAATTATATTTGGTTAAATTGTTTTGGTGAATAAATTTAAAAAAAAAAAATTTAAAAGTAAAAAGGGACGGAAATTATTTTTAAAATCAGAACAAAAAAACTTTTCTATAATTTAAATGTCATGAGAATTTAAAGTACAAAAGTAATAAAATTGAGCTTTTCCCACAATAGGTCTTTGTTTTGGACTTTTATTTAAATGCGGGTGATGAAAGCCCACTCATTTAACAAAACCTGGAACTATAGCGGTTCGATGTTAAGTGTTAAAAAGTTAATAACGATGGAAAAGATGTCAAACGAGATCAAGTTTTGGAATTATTTTGAAATAATTTTGTAAAATGCTCAATTGTGAAATGTTTTTGAAATGTATAAAAATGTTTTTTTTTTAAATTTGAAAATTGTATTTTTGGTTAGAAAGGTGGTTTTTTTCAAAAAGCTTTTATTTGCATATTTTATATTTTCAACTCCAACAATCAACTTTGTCACGAAATTGAACCTAATAATTTTTCAAATTATTGTTCAAAGTTTTAACAATTATTTTTTAATTCAAAAATAAATAAATTATATTAAAAATCATGTGATCCCAAATTTATTTTTAAAAATTAAATAAATACATATTTAAATATAAAATTAAATATTCCGAAAACTTTTATTATATCCATCAAACAGCAAAACTCGATGTTAAACATAAAACTTTAATTTAATTATTTAATTTCATAATATGTTAATTGATTTTTATAATTCGATTAACGCTTTCGAAAAAAGCTTTGCGTCTTGCGACAGAAAAAATAATATTTAATAAAAGGAGAGAGAAAATCCCGCGCGACTTACTCTCTCCCCTTTTCCCTTTATTTTTCTCTTGCTAGACGTGGACGATTTTTAATTAACGTAGCATAAGATTAGCATTAAGCATGTGTAGCTAAAAAATATTATATAAAATTAAGAGAATTCTCTCTCTAACTTTTTAATAATATTTTCTTAAAGATTGCCCTTACTCCCTAATACCTCTTCATTACTCCCCAAATGCTTTATTATACATAGAGGGCCAATTATTTTGAAATTCTTTTATTTATTTAATTTTTTCTTTTATTTTTTTAAATTTTAAATAATTTAAATAGACTTTATAAAAAACAAGACCTTATTTAAAAGAATTTAAATGAAAATTCTCTAAACCTTTTTCTAAATTAATTGGAGTAATTATGAAAAAATTACTTTTCAATTCAATTATTTTATTTTTTATTCCCCAATTAATTCCAACTTTTGGTAATAATTTTAAATAAAAATTTAATTAAATTATAATTTTAACGTTCAAGGCTTAAAGTTTTCTCGTCCTGAAAATCTTTTGGTAGAAAATGCTAAAGAAAATGTTTTTTATCTTTTTCAATTCCCTCGTTCTTCAAACACACTTTGTTTGTCTTTTGAAAGTTTAAAAGTTGAAGTTTTTCTTAAATTAAATGGAATTAATTTTTATGTAAGTTTTTAGAGAAAGGAAAGGGTAATAATTACTCAGCTAAAATAATTATCCAGGGTAATTATTGTTTCAACCTCTCGCTGGAGGGGGTAATTATTCTAGCTTTTTCTAAAAAGGCTAATTATAACTATTTTTAAGAGGGTAATTATTTTTCCGCTCTCTGGAAGTAGAGGGTAATTAATAGGGCGAGGGTAATTATTTGAGAGAGGGACATTATTTAAGCATTATTTAAGCATTTACGGTATGTATAAAAATTTTAATTTCAAATACTTTTTTAAATTAGGCAATTTTTAAAATTTATTCACCTAAACATGTCTGCTACCCCTCAAATCTCTTGTTATCTCCCATTTAAGAGTTATGATGAATGCGTAAATTCAATTACTTGTTTTTTTTCTTTCCTTCATTTTACATAAATATTTTTTGAATAATTTACCTAATACAGTGCTCCACATAACTATACTTCCACCCCTATTTTCGTGTTTTTTGCAATTTAGATCCCGAAATTTTTCTAAATTATCGTCTAAATATTGTCCTCAGGTAACTAAAAGACTAATAAAAAATGAATATTTAATTTTGGCTTAAAATTACTAGAGTTCTAAATATTTTGTCGGAAAACACCTCCACATAACTATACTTCCACTTCCCAAAAAATTATTTTCAACATTAGAAAAAATTCACAAAAATTCCAGCAAACTTATATACTTATATTATAAAAAAATAAAAAGAAACTAGGCCAATATCTTTAATCTAAGACGAGATCCTGATACTCCGAAAATCAACGTAAAACAGAGGTAAGCCTCTTTAAAAAATATTTTCGACCCCTTACAGGTAAAATAAAAATTTTATTTTGGGTTTATTTGAGAGCCGTTGAAATTTGCTACAAGATAGCATTAATTTTATTTTCCGGAAAAAATTCACCTGTAAGACCTAATGTGATAAACTTGCATGTCATTGAAATCACTCAAACGCCCCCCAAAATGTGATGAAAATGTAATTTACAAACTAATCTCATTATTTCTCCGAGATAAATTTTTTCTGGATTATGAGATAAAAAATATCTTATAGCAAATTTCAACGGCTCTCAAATAAACCCAAAATAAAATTTTTATTTTACCTGTAAGGGGTCGAAAATATTTTTTAAAGAGGCTTACCTCTGTTTTACGTTGATTTTCGGAGTATCAGGATCTCGTCTTAGATTAAAGATATTGGCCTAGTTTCTTTTTATTTTTTTATAATATAAGTATATAAGTTTGCTGGAATTTTTGTGAATTTTTTCTAATGTTGAAAATAATTTTTTGGGAAGTGGAAGTATAGTTATGTGGAGGTGTTTTCCGACAAAATATTTAGAACTCTAGTAATTTTAAGCCAAAATTAAATATTCATTTTTTATTAGTCTTTTAGTTACCTGAGGACAATATTTAGACGATAATTTAGAAAAATTTCGGGATCTAAATTGGAAAAAACACGAAAATAGGGGTGGAAGTATAGTTATGTGGAGCACTGTATAATTATTTTAGCGTATTTCAAATAAGTTATTTTTGGATTCTCCTACCGGCCAAACACCTTTTGCACAATACAATGGTGAATACATTGATGGTTCAAAAAATATAATTTCTCGGGCGAAGGAAATTATTTTTGAAAGACAAAATGAAAATTTAGAGAATGAACAAAATTTAAATTCGAAAAAATTAAAATTTAAAAAGTTTTCTAAAAATGTTAAAAAAATTCCCTCAAAGATTAAAAAATTTTTTTTTCATCGTCGTGAACCTTTAGAAGAAAAAATTATAAAATTTTCAGAAACGTTGTTCGGGTAATTTTTATTTTATAAAATATATATTTGTTTATAATCTTAACTTTTATTGTCGAATATTTAGTTTCGTAATGGCGGATAGAATAAAGCGTTTATCGAAAGATTTTGGAAGTTTGGAATTTTTGTTGGAAGATGATGGACTTGTTGAAGAATTTATTTATTTTGATCTAATTGAAGACAGAAGTTTATTTATAAAAACCGATAAGGGAGAAGGAGAATATAAAATTTTGGTTACTCCTCATTTTTGGAGAGCATTTTTCAAATTCGAAAAAATTTGGAATAAAGGGGAATATGAAAAATCTTTGGAAATTAAGTGGAAAGGTAGAGGTTCTTATATTTTTTAGTTATTAATTTTGTTGGCCATTCTCTCGGTCAAAAAACGGCCTATCGTTTATTTGACATAACAGATTTAATTTTTAAATAATAACTACACATAATATTTGACTCTTGTTGATAGGATATTACATATATCCATTATATACATATATCCATAATACATATATCCATTATATCCTTTGAGTAGCAAGCAATCTATAACTATTAAATTTTAATTATTTAGCTGTCCTCTTTAAGGAGCTGTCTCTTTAAGGATTTGAGGATCCTCTTTAAGGATCCTCTTTAAGGATTTGAGCTGTCCTCTTTAAGGAAATTACTTAGGAAAGATGTCTTTAGGTATATAGAGCTCCTTTGCTTTCAGTTTATACTAAATTTTTATTTTAAAGAAGAGGAGAAAAAATTAGAAACAATTGTCAAACAAAATGAACAAAGTAATTATTTTATCAGGGATGGGATTCTTACACTAATTCCAAGCTTAACAATTAAAATATTCTTTAAACAAAATATATACTTTATGATACAAATTTTAGATAAAAAATTAAATTTGGGATTTCCTGCAAATCCGAAATTTCAAAAATATACGGCTGCGGCGCTAAAGTTAAATAAAATAAAATTAAAAATCGTAAATAAGTCAACTTAAACTAAAGCAGTGTGTAGAAGCAAAGCAGTGTGTGTTCCTCGTTAACCGGGAATTTCTGAAAAATCTGAAAATTTGCATCTATGTAGTTTTAGTTTTTATGCTTTATTAATTGTTAATTAAAAGTTTCGGATTTTTATTTTCCGTCAATCCCATCCCTGATTTAAATCAAGATGTTGCCTCTACAAGTTCAAGTAAAGGTATTTTTAATTTCTTGTAATTAAAGAATAAATTAAAAATAAATTTTAAATATTATAAATTAATTTTAATTAATTATTTAAAATATTTCTCTAAAATTTAAATAATTTTTCTGATTTCATGACGATATAAATAAATATTATTTTAATAATCAATTTAAAATTAAGATATTAAAGGAGAATCAAAAATATCTATCGAAATTGAAGAAAATAATCAAAATAAAATGGATGAAATTAAAGAAAATTTTCTTAAAAAATATGTTAATCCAGATATGAAATCAAATGATTGGGGTAATTTTAAAACCGAAATAAATGAGCTACTAAAGGAATTTTTGAAATTAATCTTAATTAAAGATTGGTCGACGAAAAATGATGTTTGTTCTTTTTCTAAATAATTATACATTTGATTTAAATATTTGGTTAAAGATTTATTTTTTAATATTTTTTAAATCAATAATTAATAAAAAAAACTTCTAATCATTTATTTAAAGTACGAACACTATATCAAAAACAATTTAAAATATATACAAAAAGGCGTTAAAGAAATAATGAATAAATCTTTTAAAAATGTTAACGAATTTATTTTTGGGAGAAATTTTACAGAGGTGAGTTTTAAGTAAATTAATAAATTTATGAGATAATAAAACATATCATTCAAATAATTCAAATAATTCATTCAAATAATATCATTCAAATAATCCAGTTGATTTGACAGTTCAGATTAGAGAACGATCTGTGAGGGTCGTACGACGATCTGAATATTGCGAAAGAATCTCGATAACCTGAGTCTTTATCGAGCTCTCGTGTCTCTCTCTCTAGTCCAAATCCTTAAAATTAGCCAACAATTAAGGTACCGATTAACATTTCATTTTAAATATATTTTTTTTAATTTTAAGGCGGATGCTTCCTTGTTTGCCGTATTAATTCAAATATTTGATACAGCTAAATTTTTAGATAAAGACAACATATTTTCATTTAGAGCTTACAAGGATATTTTTTTGAGTTATGTTAATCATGTAAAGACAAAGTTGGGATTAGATGTTGAGGAGGATAAAAAAGATAAACAAAGACATTTGTCTCTTAATTATGAACCTGTTAATACAGAAGACAGTGAATATAACGGTTAATTATCGAAACAATTTAATTGACAAAAATATCAGAGAATCTTTTTTTACCTATCTCTAATCGAGGGTGTGAGGGTCGAGGTCGGGGGGGGGGGGTTATCAAAAAAGGTCGTGGTTTATTATCAAGGCTCACCCTAAAAATATTGGGTTTAATCTTTCACACTTGAATCTATACTTTTCTTATAATAAATTTTAATCTTTTTGTTGTTTATGGCCGACATCGGATTTTTAATTACTAAAATTTTGATTAATAAATTCTTTTAAAAATAATTTTTCAAATTAACAGGACCATTTCTTTTAAATATGCCCACCAATTTTCATTCGGTTATGAAGTTCAATTTTGAAGATTTTCTAAATATATTTGAACAAACAAATATTAACATAATTTTAAATGAATTGAAAAAGTATAGGAATTTTAATGAGGAAAATTCATTGTTATTTGCAAAGATTGGTATGAAAATTAAAGTAAATTCAATTTTAAATGTGGATGAAGAAAATATTGACTACTTTCGAGGAATGTTTTTGGAAGCTATTTTCTATATTTGTAGTAAATGTAGAGAAGGTTTTGAAATGTAAGTTTATTGGGGTTTTTAAAGTTTTCTGTCCCTTAATGAATTTTTTGTTTATAAAATAAAAAATATTTTTTTAAAGTGTTGATTAACGAAGTATAGATATATCGATAGGGATCCTCAAAAATGGATAGGAATTTAGATTCTTTTTGTATCAATCTAGTGATAATAAATTAATTTTCGCTCTAGGAAAAGATTAAAAATTAAAGATTTTTAATTCTCTTAATTATTTAAATTTAATGAAACAGCATTGATCCTCAAATCCCAATTGAATTGATAGAGAAAACAACAAAATTAGTTTATGACACAATTATTGAATTTAATGAAGAAAAAATTGCTGAAAAAGTTTCTGATGAAATTAAAGAATCATATAAGCAAACATTTCCACAAAAAAAAGAGGAGGAAATTGAAGAGTGATTTTAAATTGAAAAAAGTTTTTTGGACAAGAATTGAACAATTTTTAAATCACATTGATATTTTTAAGACAAGAATGAAAAAAAAACTATTTTATTTTAAACAATTATTTATTCTATTTTAATTTTTGGCTTATTTTAAAATTCTCTTTGTACAAACTACATATTTCACCCCCACAATTTCATAAAATTTAAACTCGAATTGTATTAAAAAATATTTTTTTGTTCGTCTTTTTTTGAAGAAAAAAATTTTGCATAAAAATTTAAAAATCTGTGCTTGGAAATTTAAAAGTTTATTCGGAAAATTCATTTTTCTTCATTAAATCAATCATGGTAAAAACAGTTTTTATTAGGTAATAGACAATTAGAAAACAAGAAATTGTTAAAAATTTAAATAATATTTTTAGAGATAATGTCATTAAATTAACAATTATTTTTTATCTAAATTATTCCCAAACTTTTTAACTTTGAAAATAAAAAATCTGTCAAAACTTGTACATATTTTTAAAATAATTTATATGTAAAAATAAAATTTATTTTTAATTTGTTTTAGTTCCATTTCCATTCATTTTCCCTTCTTTTCCATTAAAAAATAAATCCTTTTCTTTAAATATAAAATAAGCAACCAGCCCAGCAATAATTAACAAAACAAGCAACAAAACAATTATCTTTTTATTTTTTTGTTTAGAAATACATATAATTTTAAAATATTTAAATTAACAAACCTGCAAGCAAAGTATTTTCTTGCACAAATTATTTTGTTGGCCGTTTGCCTGTTGTTGGCTTTTTTCTACTAAAAATATTTTTTAAGTTAATTTCTAAATATATTTTGATATTTCAATTACCGTAAATGCTGAAATAATTACCCTGAGTAATTATTGTTTCCACGCTGGAGGGGGTAACTATTGGGGAGGATGTGCCGGATTTAGGTTATATTTACCTATGCATATCAATTGAGGCGAGATTGATAATGTTTCGATAATTAAATTTGATCATAATTTTTAAAATATTTTTAAAGTAATAACTAGAGGATAATTATTAGAGAGGGTAATTATTTCATAATTTATAGTATATCATATGATAATTAAAATATACTTTACAATTTGAGGAAATTGGTTTTTGATTTTGTTGTTGAATAGAGGGTGGGTATTGTTGAGGTAATGAATTGTTTTGATTACCAAACATTACCAAATCCATAGCCATTAAAGGTGATGGAGGTGGAGGAATAAAATGTTGGTGGTTGTTGGGATATCCTCCTCCATACATTTTTTTAATTTAAAAAAAAAGTAAAAAATATCTACAATAATTATTTAGCAAAAATAAATATTTTTTGATAAAAAATAATTTTTAATTGTAATACTTAACTAAAATATTTCAAAAAAATTATTTTAATTTTTCTAAAAATAAATTTTAATTTTAAATATAAGTCAGAATTATTTCATTTTTTAAATTTAATTTTATGAGACAAGACAGAAATAAAAAATTTTCTTTTTCTTTTAAACATTTTTGAATATTAATCATTAAAAAAGAATATATCTATAAATATGTACATAACATTTTCAGAAAAAATAAATTTATGATTAATTTTATAAAAAAATTTTTTTTAATTTAATGGCAAAAAAGTACTTTTGTTGAATAAATAAAGTGCTTGGTGATTTATATTTTCTTTTAAAAATTTAGAATTTAAAAAAGTAAATATTAAAATAACAATTTTCATAGATGAACATTATATAAATTAAATTATAAGAACGACAAAATGTTAAACTAAAAAATTAATTTTTAAAATAAATAATATCGAAATTTAAATTTATATTTAAATTAATAATTTATAAATTAGAATATTTTAATTTATCCGTCGTCAAAAAATGATTTTCTTTCAGTGAAATTTTGTGGAAATGTTATTTGCAGGAATAAAACAGAGGGATAAAAAAATTGAAAAAAATTTATTTGAATGAAATTAAACAAAACTTAAATTAATAAAAATTGTAGTATTATAATATTTAAAAAAATTTAGATTTAATGAATAATTTAAAGCAATTAACTATTTAATTCCTAAAGTCATGCGCGAGGTTAATTCGAATTAATAGAAGACCCACTAATTCGTATCCTTTGGGGTAGTTGAAGGAGTAATAGCTACAGCTCTTAGTTTAGCTTTACTTAGATGCATAATTTATAAATTTAAAATAATTAAAATTCGACTATTTTATTCTACAAATTTAATAAATAATAATAATAGAATATATTTAATTATTAAATAATTTCATATATTTAACCACATTTTTAATTTTAATTTTTTCTTCTTCTTTTTTTTTAAAAAAATCCTTAGTTAATTTTTAATACATTGGAGATGTTTTCTTTGTATAATCTACAAGGAAATCTACAATATCAGTAAAATCGCTCGGTTCAATATCCAAAACGTTTTCCGTTTTAATTTGGCTAAAAATAAATTTAAATTAATTTTTAAAAAATTATAGAAGCTGAAATAAATTATTTTTTCCTTTCAAAATTAGAAGGAATTTTGTTAAAAATTATTTATTAATCCCCTATAAAATAATAATTTAAATTTAAAATCACCGTTTAATAGCAACAATAGGCCCTTTCCATTCATGCCCTTTTAAATTTCCTTTTATTATTTCCACCCAAGGATTTAACTTTGATCCATCCTTACTAAAATCATCACGATAAACCAAACTAATTACTGCATCCAACTTTAAATTTTTTTAAAAAATATTAAATAAAATAAATAAAAAATTAAATATTTAGTTAAATATTTGATATTTTTAGTTAAAGTTACAAATTTTTTAAAAGAAATATCAAGACAATAAGAACTTTGTAATATTTTAGAAATCAGAAGTCCGACCTATATTTAACGTAAATCCTCTTTAAATTTCTTGTCTAGAATAGAAAATTTTTTGAAAATTTAGATTTGCTTTTATTAAATTTGTTTCCTATTAAAACTAAATAAACACTACAATTTTGTTTGTTCGAAGATTTTTTTCAATATAACTTCGATCAAATATAGTTTCGCCAAGAATCGTTTCCAATTGTTTTCGATTTACTTTCCATCCTTTAGTATATTGAATTTTTGTAAGGTAAGGTTTTGTTTCTATATTGTCTGGCAAAACAAGAATTAATGCTTCGTCCCCTTTAGAAAATATTTTTTTATTTAAATTTTAAAAATTATATTTTTTTAATTTTTTGCCTGGTGTTTCTTTAAATCCAATACCACAAAAAATTTTATGTCTTTCCTTGTCTTTAATTAAGCATTCCTCGCTACAATATAGAACTTCTTTACCAACTTTATTGCATTCCTCACATTGAACCTTTGCTTTCTTGTCACAATAAACACATTTTCCTTTATATTATATTTTAATATTATTTTTTATTAAAAAAAATAATTGACAAAATTTGGAAAGATCGCGGCATTTTTTGTTTTCGATTCAATTTAAAATAAGCGGAAAGTGTTAACTTTCTTTTTTTTATTTAGAAAACTTTGAGGAAACTAAGAGCTTATAAAAGCTTAAACTAAGAGCTTATGAAACTTGTTTTCATATAAAGAAGGATAAAAAAATTGTATGTACATCAAAAACAAAAAAACGTCGTTATACTGTTTAAAAATTATAGAATTATTTATATCAATTATTACATTTTATTCTTAATTCTTAGTACTATTATGTATATTCCGAAAACTCGAGGGTTTTCGCAGTACTTCTCCCAAAAGCTGGAATAAAATTTATAAATGAACATTTGGTTAGAACAATTAAATTATTCTACTAATTAAACCTCGAATTCCTCCTTCATCAACATTTTCTTCAACTTCTTTAGCTGTTTTTTCGACATTACTTTGTTCTAAGAAATTAATTTTTCTTTTTAAATGTCAAAATATGTAAATAATTAAAAATATATTTATTTAAGTAAAGCGGCCAAACCAATCCCAGAAAATAGCAAAGGATCGGATATGCTCTGATCATTAAGATATGCTCTGATCCATTATTCTTCGACCGACAGAGAGTTTTAATTTATTAATTTATGCCTTATTTTAAAGGAAACTTCGCCGGCCTTACATTTGTATTTTTAATAAAACAATTATCTTTTATGTCAATCCCTTTAATAATCTCTAAAGATTTGACATCAAGTTTTATTTTTTAATTTAAAAAAGATAAATCCAACTAAAAACCTCCTTTTTCATTTGGTTTACGACAATTCTTCTTGTGTTCGGGCCAATCTTTTATTTGACAATTTTTGTCACAATAATATGCAGTATGGCATTTACTACAAGTTAATTTTGCTTCCTTTTGACAATTTTCACATTTAGCTATATTTAAAAATATTTTTATATTAATTATAATTTATATTAAAAATTTAAAAATAAGCACAAAAAATTTATCAAAGTAAAAATTTAAAAATATATTGAGAATATTTCTAAAGTCAAACCTCGATATAATGACCCCCTGATTTAAGAATCTTTCAATTAACAAACTTTTCTCAGTCCCTCAAGTTATTATATCGAGATTCGATTGCTCGATCAAAACCCTGATTAGGATTAAATTAAATTTTGTGTTTAATAAATATAAAATTTTTTTTAATAATTTTGAATATTCTATAAATATTTTTTTATTATATTAAATAAATATTTTAATTGTTACCACTCTCAACATTATAAAATTGAATATTTATTAAAATGAAAAATATTAAAAAGAAAATTAAATTAAATTTCATTTTTAAAAAATATTTTATTTTAAAATTTAATAAATGAATTAGTTGCCCTAAAAATTACTCTTTAAGTACATATGTATTGCCCTTTAAATTAAAGATAACTATGCACTTTTTGTCTAACAAATAAAAATTTAAAAATAAATTTCTCAACAATTTTGAAATATACAAATTTATAAAAAATTTTTTATTTTCTTTGATTTAAAGTCCATTGCACTTTTAAATCCGCTATAAACAAAAAAATATTTTTTGTTTTCGATATGTTTGGATTTCTTTTGATTTCCGATTTTTAAAGATTTTTGTTTCAACGCAGCTCCGCTTAAAAATAACAAAAGGGCTTCCCCAAATATGCAAGAAACATCGTCAGATATGCACCCAAATATCCAGAAATTCTTAAAAGTTGCACCAGATATGCAAACAAAATTAATTAAATTTTATTAAAAAAAAGTTCAATTTAATCGATAAAATGTTAAATAAATTAATTTTGACGCTCAGAATTACAAGTTAATTAATTTAAAGTAATTATTTTGTTTCCGAAAATTTGAGTTCCAAAAAAGTTTCCAAAAAAATTGTTTTTGACAAAAAATTTCTGACAATTTTGAAAATTTTAATTTGTAAAAAATAATTTTTAAGCTACAATTCCCCAAAAAATTTTTGTGAGGTCCTAGTACTAGGTCGGTTCATAAAAAAGTTCGTTCTACAAAAATGGTTATAGAATTTTTTGTATATGTTCAAAAGCTTTGAAATTTTGCATATTTATTCATTAGAGTGTTTTCTAATAGACCCCAAAATTTGAGAATTTTTGGTTCGATATTCAGGGAGTTCTAATCTCCTAAAAAGTTGTTGTCGAAAACTATGTTACACATCCCCCCAAAAAAGTGTTTTTTCTAACTTTGCGCAAGATCATCCGATCTTGATGATCTAAACGGATTTGTACATAACATATATGATTTATGACTAAATATGAAGAATAAAGTCTGTAACTTTTGTCTAACACGGAATTCGGCATTTCGACATTTCTGAAAATCGACTTTCCCTTTTATGAAAAATTCGGCACTTAGGTCCCCCTGATAGAGATTTTTAAGAGCTTTCGAATGGTATATTACACTAGATATTACAATTACATATGCTCGAGAGGGCTCGAACCCCGATGGTTTTCAGATTATCTGTGTTTCCGACCATAACTCCCTGAATACCGAACCAAAAATTCTCAAATTTTGGGGTCTATTAGGAAACACTCGAATGAATAAATTGCAAAATTTCAAAGCTTTTGGACTTCTAGAAAAAATTCTATACCCATTTATGTAAAACGAACTTTTTTATAAACCGACCTAGTAATAAAATACACCTAATCTCCTAAATTTTACGAATCCGCTCAAATAGAAGAATTTTTTTAGAAAAAAAACTTTCTAGAAGAATCTGTCCAGAGTGGTTACTGTTAGAGAGTTTCTACATATTTTAGTTCAAAATATTTATTAAAATTTATTCGTTTATTTATTTTTATTTTTCACGTTCTGAATATAAAAGATCCAAATAGATTTTTTATTTTAATAAAAACAGAATTTTTTAAATATATTTTATTATTTTTTATCAAAGAAAATTGCATAATCATTTAAATATTTCTTAATAATTTTGCAATAGACATATTTTTGTATTTTTGTCGGATTTTCTTTGATCAAAGTCTATTGCACTTTTATAAAATTTTAAATAAACAAAAATATTTTTTTATTTTCCAACTTGCTCTTTTATATTAAACATAAAAGGGACCGAAGAGGTAGAATCTGCAAAGGACTAATGAGACTTTCTAAGGGATTAATATAGGTAAAGTCGGATCACTCTAATAGAAATCCCCCACACATTACCTCTAATCTCGATTCGATCCCTCTCATAATTCAGTTAAGTTCGTTCCCTAGTGGTGATGTGTTAGAGAAATTCAATTGTTCATTGAAAGTCTGTAGATATTTTTTTTTGTTTTATTAAAATTAATTTATATATATTTACAATAGATAATGTCAGTAAATAATTTTGTAAATTTATAAAAATATTAAAATCTTTATTCTTAATTAATTAAAATTAATATTAAATTTACAAAGTTGGTGTAATTTTATTTAAATGACTAAAAACAAATACTCTATATGGCTTATTTGTTAAAATACAAACAACCGGATTAATAACAGGGACTAAATGAATTAAAAAATTAAATAAATATTGTGAATTAAATTGATTTAAATTAAATTCATAATTTATTTTGTTACAATTTGTGTTGTTTGTAGAGCCTAGAAAAACGAAAGAAGATGTTGCAATAAGAATTGTTAGAGGAATAATTGCCTTAAATTAAATTTTTAGAAAATATTTTATTTTTTCTTACCAAAATAATTAAATTTTTTGTGAGTTGTTTTGTATAATCTTTCAATTGCGAATCAGGGAATGTATGTGAATTAACATATCTAACCATTTTAATTCCAGTGATAATTATAATACAAAAAGGGGTTATTGTAAATATAAATGGTATAATTACAGCAAATAATTTATATAAATTGTTTGTCTGTTAAATTATAAATTAATTAAATTAGGTAGATTTTTTAGGTTAGGGTTGAAGATTAAGGGTGACTCGAAGTAGGAAGCCCAAAATTGTTTTTACTTTACTCCGGGGGCTCCATTATATTTTTAATTTCAAACTTCTTTGCATGGATCATTTATTTGAAAAATTGCTGGCAGACTATTTTTAAGTACAGATTGCTGATCATTAACGTAAACAAAATCGGGATATTGTAAATAATATAAAAGATAAATAAAATAAATAAAAACAAGAATTAGAGCAGTAAAGAGCATTAAAGTATAACGAAAATATCCAATTGTTTTGTCACTAAAATGAATATTATTTAATTTTTTTCAGTTTATTTAAAGGTCTAAATAGAAAATTTTTTAATTTATAAACAAAGATTATTACTAGAATTTGACATTTTAAAAATGCCGGATCCTGTTTCCGTATTTCATACTACATATTTTATCCGGAAGATTTAAGGGGATAAGGATGGATAGAGTTGTGGTTTGATGGAATTTTTTTATCCGGACCAGATTAACGAATCAAAATGCGAAAAATTTTATATTCGGATCCGGACCCGAATTTTCAAAAAATTTTTATTATAAAAATTTAGCTAAAACTATTGACTTAAAACAAGAATTCTTAAGGGATATAGGTGTATTTGGAGGGATTTAGGAATATTTTAAAAGATTAAGATGGATATCGAAAGAATTTGAGGAATTAAGAGGAATAGGGGGATTAGGAGAGATATAAGGTGATTTGTGGTATTTGTGGAGTAATAAGGATAGAGATCCCGACCGGGTCTAACTCTAATTATTACATTTTAATTTTAACTAAACATACTAATTTAATATCAAAAATCTGTAGACAAATTGCACAGTTAAAGCATAAGTATTAAAAATATACATTAAATTCCAAATGAATTGGAAAATATAAAAATATATTCTTTCATTAGATAGTAAACTAAGTAAGCCTGTTGATATTATGTAGTAAATACTGCCGTTATCATTGTAAATTAACACCTAAATTAATGATTTTACTTTAATTAATTCTGGACTCTTTAATTAAATGCCCACTTAAAAAATATAGGTATTTATAAGGGATTATGACACTCCTCGACACTCAAAAATCAAAAATTGAGGTTATTGTTACAAGAATCCCTTTCTATAGAGTCTGTCTTGATTTAACCGTAGAATCATCACAAGGATAGTACATTTAAATTAATTAGGAATATTTCGTAAAATGTGAGAAATGAAATGTTGAAAATCGGAATCTTCTAAGGGTCGAAATCTGTATCAGAAATCAAAATATTTGAAAACCAAAAATTATTTATTAATTTATTAAAAATTTTCAAACTAACCAATTGACCAAAGATTTCCATAATTAAAAAAATAATATCTAAAATACAATTTTGAATTAAAATACGACTGTGCTGAAACATTTCTTTTGGTGTTTTATTAAAAATAAGCCAAATTAAAGAAAAATTAAATAAAAATCCAATAATTATACAAAAATAATAATCAAATTGAAAAAATAATTGAAATAAAGACATTCTTTTAGCTATTTTTTAAATGAAAATTTTTAATTTTAAATTAAATTTAATAAATTTTTAAAATTAAAATGAAATATAATTTGTTTAATTTTTTTAAAAAATTAATTCGATATAATTAAAAAGGAAAAATGTACATTGAAATTTTTACTTTATTATTAAATATTCTTTTTTTTTCATAGAATAATTATCACCTGTGTTTAATTATTATTTAGCTTAGATATTAAATATTTTTTAACAAAGAAAATTGAAAATGTATTGACAATAAAAATCTAGATTTCAATTAACAATTATAAGAGAGACAATTAAATTAATTTAATAAAAATAAAAGTTCATAAATTTTGTTAAAAACAAGAAAATTTGACAAATAACATTTAAATAATATTTGTAATTTATTAAAAAAAATTTTTTTATTTTTTGTGTTCATGACTGTGGAACGGATTTAGTTATTTGGATTTCCGTATTTTTTTACTGGCCTACATATGTAGTTGGGTTTTTAGCATATGCATGATGATAAGGCCGTTTTTGAGTTATCAATCCATATTTTCCATATTTCGTCATTTTTTGTAAAATTTTGCCAAAAATTGGTCAAAATTTTCAAAGTTATGAAATTTTTTTGGTCAAAAAAATTTTTTATAAAAATTTTTTGGAAAAATTAAATAGGTAAATAACATTCGATGCTAGAAGACCATTATGACACAAAACCTACACTTCACAAGAAATAATCTTTCTAGCTGTGATAGGGACATAGGGACTTATGGTAAATCATTCAACGAGGCATCCAATCATTTATATAACTAACATCATTAAACCGAATGATTTTTAAACTATTAACTATGTTAACTTTTAATTAAATTTAGCACTTTTTATCACTAACTTTTTGACTTAAGATATTAATGTACCTATATTTTATACCGGGTATTTACTCATAAATAAATAATGTGTGGGATTTATATAACAGAATAGTATTAAGCTTTTTTTTATTATTAATTATCTCCCCAAAACTTCTTAGCTTCGTGAATATCAGTATAACGTAAATGAATAGCCACATTAGTTCTTTCAATTTTTCTATGCTAAATAAAATTTTTAAATTAAAAATTATTTTTATTTTTACCTTAATATATTTTCCTTTAATTTTTTTAATAAACTTTAAAAAATAATAATTTAAAGATATTTTTTCCTTATTCGAATAATTAAATAATTCAGGCATATTTAAACCAACAATCCATTGTTTACACCAATTGTCTTCCCTTTAAATTTAATTTTAGATTTAAATTATTTATTTATTAATTACCAAAATTTTTTAAATTTTTTCCCGGCAATTAATCTTTTTTCACATTTTCCTTTTTTTGATTTATTTGGTGAAATATGTGAATATTCTAATTTTGGATATTCTTCTAATGACAAAACTAATTCAACTCTAATTCGATTTTTTACAAAATTACAAAAATCTTCTCCAATATTTTTATCAATTCCAACACAAATAATTGTTACAAAATGATTGTACTTTGAAAAGAAAAATAATTTTTAAATCAACAAAAAATTAAAATTACTTTATCAACAAAGTCAACTCCTTTAATCCATTGTTTCAATCCTTCGTTAAAATTGGTGGATGTTTGGCGATGGATTTGTCTTATTCCTTTTAATCCTATATAGAAAATTTTTAGAAATTATAATAAGAATTGAACGATTTTGTGTAATGTGTACAAAGTGAACTACATTCTGACCTCGATTGTATAAATAAATAAAAATTAAAATCGTAAAACATTAGTATGTTGTAACTAATAGTGAAGCTGTTGACCTAACGATTCAGAAGAGTTTTTAAAATACATATCGAGTAGAGCATTCCAATGATATGAAAAATATAAATTCCTGTAAATTTTCTCGTGTCGATTAAGGCAGATATCCGGGTCCGAAAAAGGTTATATTGAATTTGGACACCAAAAGTTGGACAACAAATACCAAAATTTTGTAAAATATCCAAATATTAACCTTCAATAATTGTTTGTTTAATTATTTTCATTGTTGAATAATTAACATTAAAAGCACTTGACTGTTGTGGATATGCAGGTGTTAATATTGGCATGATTAATTTTGAATGTTTTTTTAATCTTTCATTATTTTTCTTTTCATTTTCTTTCAATTTTTCTTTTTCCATTTTTATATATTTTTTATCACTTTTATCATCCCAATCTTCTTCAATTCCTTGTTTATTTAAAAATGTTATTTCCCTTGCAAATAATTCAGTTCCAATTCTCCAACTGTGCGGTAAACTATCGTCAATTTTACCAATAAGGAAAGGTCTAGGCCAATTCCTTAAAATTAAAAATGGTGATGATCTGCTTTCGTTTCACACAATACACATAAACATACATAAGACCTTTGCTTGCTTTTACGTCAAAGCAAGCAAAAAAGTGAAACTAAGCGGAATTAAAATTTTGGTTAGGTGGATAAGAGCCTTGACTAAAAATCCACATAAATTTGGATCACGTTTAATGTTAACTCCAGTTAATGTCAATGGGCTAAGAAAATGAACCATCCTTTTAAAATGTTTGAAAATTAGACTATTAAATATTTTGTTTTCTTTAATATAAGAATTTACTAACCATGTCAAAAAAGTAAGAAAGAATCTATCTAATATAACCAAAACAGAACAAGTATTTGGATATAATAAATAAATTTTAGTTAACATAATTAACATAGAAGTACCACTCAAAAATCCAAATTGATTTCCATAAATAAAATTATCTATAAATTTTTAAAAATAAAATATTTTTCTTAATTAGGTATTTTACTTTCTGCCCAAATTTTTAATAAAATTAATGCCGAACGAAATATTTTTATTTTTTGTTCTTCTTTTGGTAATAATTCTTTAATAATTAAATTCGATTTATAACCAGATAAAGGAAAAACTCTTCCTAAACTATTATTTTCTGCATTATTTAATGCTACATCCATCCAATTTTTATTATCTTTTATCTCTTCAGGAATCTGTACATAACTAATGTCTATATCAATTCCATGAAATTCAAATTTCAATAAGGGAACGCGTATTTCTCCAATTCTTTTTAAATTCTTAACTTTGTCCTAAATTTTAATTAGTAACTATGATTATAATTGTTTTTTATTTATAGATTGAACTGAGGCTTGATTTCAACAAAAGACCTTTCTTAGGAAGCTAGGTTTGTGGATAAGGTTTATGTTCAAGTTTATATTTAGCCATTTATTTTCCTGTTTGGCTGTAAGTTGGGTTTAACCGCATCCGGACTGGAACTTTACAAAAAAATCCCGAAAAGAACTTCCGATCAAACGCAACTGGACAAAAGTCAACTGGACAAATATTTAAAGTTTAACATATTTTAACCCAACCATAAATCTTGTAAACTAATATTTAATAAAGTCACTATGACTATTTTATTTAAATTTATTCTACCTGTAAACATAAATGACAGTAAAAAGACTGATCAGAACAATTTTTCTCTTTATTATCCAAACATTTTGAAGTTAAGCGTCCAAAAAATTGTGTAGCTCTACTTTCTAATTGTTTTGTTCCATCATTCTTTAAATTTTCTTCATCCCAAAAATATTCAGTATTCTTTCTAACAACATAAATAGCGTCAATATCAGAATTTTTTGTATTTACTTCCAACATTAAAGATCCCCCAATCAAAAATTCATAATCAGCTTCAAATATCTCTGCCCATTTATTTAATATATTTTTTAATTTTTTAATTATTTCATTCATATTTTTATTATTTTCTTTATTTAATTCAATTAATTCAAATATTTCATAATTAAAATTATCTTCATTCTCCTCAGAAAATATTAAATTTTGAAGTAATTCTGGATTTAAATATTTTGCTGGGCCATATTCTCCAATATTTTGATTATCTAAAATTAATTTTGTTTTGAATTGTTCTAGAGTATATTTAATAAACAAGCTCATTTAAAAATAAACTCTCTAAACTTGGTGATATATCCCTCATATAAAATCCCCTCTAATAATTCTGTTTATGGTTTAGTTCCGCAAAGCCTGTTTCATTAAGGCCCTTTCAGCCATATTTTCGGGAAAACCTTTTTTGATTCTTAACATAACTATTACATATGTCAATCAAGAGCTTTTGATTTGAGGATTATTTTTATAACAGGATATATTTGATCAGATTATGCTACAAAGTTATTATTTAACAGGCATATAACAGTTTTATTTAAATTAAATATATACCAATATCCCTCTGATTCTTAAATTTATTCCAATCATTTATTTGTTCATCAATTCTATTAAACCATTCTCCAACCTTTTCTGACCCCTCAACTCCAAAAAGAATTGAAATAATATTTTCTTTTTCATTTTGACTTTTTTCTTTAATAAATACAATATTTTCTGTTGAAGAAACTAATTTTTGTAAATGTAATTGATGAATAATAAAATAAATATTATTTTCATTTAAAATTGTTTTTTCTTTAATATTTTTATCAACTTTCAAAATTCCTTCAATTAAATTAACTAAATATTTAAGTCTGTTGTATAACTCAATTTGATGAATATTTTCAAAAACCTTAAAAATATTATTAGTTATGGATATAGTATGTAATTAATGGCCGCTTTTATTATTTCACACTTTATTACCAGTTATTTTTAAAGTTATTTCCTTAAAATGGCACTAACTCCGAATCAAATTCACAAGCCTTTACACCATAAATTCAAATTCACCAAAAATACAACAACAAAAAATAATAATAACTTAGTCAATGAGGTTGGTGTCTCTGCTCAAACAATATGGAAAGGGTTAAAGCTTTTCAAGCAAGGCAGTTCAACAAATATTTTTATTAATGATATTTTTGTTGAACATGTTGAAGTTAAAAAATATATTATAGCTTCACTTAATCTTAGACACCCCTCCCTCCCCCTATGAATAATAAATTAATTACTTTATCGAAATTCTGATCATCTTCTGTTAAATTTTCCAGCCATTTTGGCATTTTTTCAAAAATTTCTCCTCCAAATATTTCTTCATAAATTAATGGCCATATTTTTTCTTTTAATTGTTTAAATGCAATAAAACGTTTATATATTTCATTAATAATAATGCCTATATCAATTAAATAACGTTTTTCTATTGAAGAGGTTTCGATAAATTCTAAATATAATTTATTAATTATTTGTTCATTTGTAAATTCAGAAATTTTTAATTTTAATTCATTTAAAGATGTTGAAGAAAATAAAGAAGAAATATTTTTTTGTTTTTCATTATTTCCTCCAATTAATTTATTTGTTAATTTCTTTTTTGGCTTTTTAGGAGGGGGAGGAGGCTTTTCTTTTATTTTTTGTTTTTCCTCAACAATTTCTGATTTTATTTGAATTGTTTGTTCAACTGCTTTCTGATTTTCTTCTTTTTCTGAATTGCTTGTATTTGCAATATTTTTATTTTTTGAAGATTTTGATTTTTGTTTCTTTTTTGTATTTTCTGATGTTTTTTCTTTGTTTTTCTCTTTAATTTTCTTCCCTTTCCCTTTACTTTCCTCATTTAATAATTCTTCTTCCCAAAGAGCAATATTTTTTAAATATTCCTCTTCTTTAGCTTTAAGTTCAGCTTTACGTTCTTCTTCCGTTCTAATATCTGTTTTACTTATATTTTCAAATATTTTATTTATATTTTTTGTTTCAATAAATAAATCAAGTTCTTTTTTAAATTTTTCTTCTCCAATTTCTTTTAATTCTTAAATTAAATGATCAGATTAATCTTCATTAGGATTAATTAATATCAGGGGGCGACGGCGGTCTCAGTCGGAATATTTGAAACTTACTAATAGCCAAATCCTTGCTGAAACTTTCATTTTTTAAGAAAATTCCCAGTGTAGTTAAATGTAGTTCTTTAATTCTTTTCTCAATGCCACTTGTGTTTGAATCATCTGTTGAGATTGCTATGTCTTCCATGTTGGGTTTATACGCCTAAATTATAATGCTAATTTAAAATAGATTTTTGTTTTCTTTGATATGTATACAAATAGATTTTTTAAACGTAAAAAATACATTGCGCGCAGCCATGGCCGGAATTGCGGAATTTTCAGAGCAGAATCTGCTGATATACAAGTGTACATAAAACTAGGATAGCTCCCAGAGCCTTTGGGGTCGGAAATGGAGGGGATTGGCGTTTGCCGGGGACGGCATGTTGGGGCTGATTTTTGGGTCGGTGTTCGGGGGCGGGTGTCGGGGTTTCAATAGAGAGTCTTAAATTAAAATAAATTTAAGCACCCAAAATTCGTCATTTTAGCGTAAAAGCTTAACCAACCTATGTCAAAATTCAAGAATCAAAAGAAAACTGGTAAACTACATTACCTAGGTATCTAAAGTTTAGTATATAAATAATACATACTATGTTTGCGTTTTTGTCTGCTGATTTAGCCTCTTCAATAATATCTAATATAAATTTAAACGCGTTATAACATTTACATTCCTTTAACTCTTCTAAATTAAGACAATAAAAGTCCCAATAATATTTATGAACTAAAAACTTATTTTTATTGAAAAATTTTATAAGTTTTTCTTGATTATGCTTATTTCTCCATTTATTAGAATTAATAATTCCATCTGCAAATTTAATCCAAACTAAAAAATCTGCCGACATTTTATTTGTTTTCTTTGATCTTTCATCATCTAACGTAAAAACATTTAAATAATATTTCTTTAGTATATCATTATTTTTGAAATCTAAATTTTAAATTGGTATTATATTTTTTCTACCCCTCTCTCTCCTTTTTCACAAAATGTTTTAGTACATAATGATCTGTGATTAGATTAATTTTCAATAATAAAAATTTGGCTGGCGGAGAAATCTTGAAAAAATATTTGAAAATTTTCTTAAACCAGACAAACAATATTTTTAAAAATTGTACAGAAAAATGATCCAAATATGCACAAAATTTTAAAAATATGCGAAAATTGCCTAAATATGCACCAACATGCAAATATGCACTAAAATACCAAAATATGCAAAATGTTCACACCGACGTAAAAAACCATTTGGAGCTTTCAGCTCATAGCATAATCCGCATACAAAATATGCATTTGCATGTTTTGCGCACCCTAATCATTATGCATCGTTTCATTTTATGAAAAAGGATAGAGAGGAGTTAGAAAAATACATATGTATTTTTGAAATTTTGGAGACGGTTCTGGATGTAATTCCAGACACTTTGGAAGACCAGTTTTTTAAAATATATGTAGGTTTCAAGAGTTTAGAAATTTTAGAGACTCGTGTTGCCGAAGGGCTTTCACATTTGAAAATATTTATAATGTTAAAAAGTGAGACTTTCTCACCATTATTCCCCCTCCCCCCCCCCTTACCTTCTTCCAATTTTAACACTGAATATAAATTAGCAAATTTATCATTATCTATAATTAAATTGATCAACATTGACTTGCTTTTAAAGCTTTTTGTTAATTTTTCTTTTTCTTTTTGATTCTCGTTTAAATAATGTTTTAAATGGCTAAAATGATCAGTTACTAAAGCTTCTCTTTGTTTATTTGTTATTTTTACTTTTCCTTCTTCTGTTAACCCTTTAACTTCACATCGTTTAATTATTCTTTTAAATTCAGAATTTTTAAATTTTCCAACAAACTCTTTAATTTCTTTGTCAAATTCCTTATATTCTTCATCAGTTAAATCATTTTTATCCCAATAAGTAGATGCTTTTTCGAGTATAATTGAATATGAATAAATAAAACAATTGGCAATTTCAATTCTTTTTTTAATTAAATCATAAAAAATATTTTCTATTTCGTCAACTATTTCTTTAAATTTTATATAGTTTTTATTTGTTTCATCGCAATTATAAAATGCCTCAGCTTGGTAATAAATACTTTTAAACTGTACAGATAAAAGAGATGCATTAATTCTCATTTCTGCAGTTATACTTTTTTCTAATTCTTCTTCTGTTAGATATAACGATTCTTCATCCTTTTCTTCTAATAAAAGTATTCTCTTATATAAATACCATTGGTAATTATCTTCGATATCATCTTAAAAAGATGAATAATACATTTTTAAATATCATCTTTCTACACTTCCTATTGCCATAAATCCCTTATGTATCAGAGAAGGACCGAACAGCTTTGCCCAGCTTTGTACCATCGGTGAATTAACCCTTAAATCCCCTGCTACTCCAAAATCCCCTATCTTACCAATAATATCTTTCAAACACCTCTCAAGACTATATGAGAGTCTTGAGAGGTGTTTGAAGTTGTATGAACATCTTTTCAATTCAGCCTTAATCCCAGCCCTCAATATTATCGGTGGCTTTTTTCAAGTGCCAGTTTTTTTCTATTTATGGTGAGTATACGTAACTCGTATAAGTAACTCCAGTGATTCGGAAGTTCCAAAATTTTGGCGGTTCAAGTTCCAGTTCTGGAACCGCGTTAATTAATTTTAGCGGTTCCAGTTCTGGAACCGGTTCCAAACCGGTTTTAAATATTTTGGAAGATCATTAAGCCAAAAATCTTGCTTTTCAAGTTGAGTCCTCATGGAGGGATATAGAAGGATCAGAGTGATTAAGAGAGTATACGGAGGGATTAACAGGTATATAAAGGGCTTTTGGGAGATATCGAGGGATTTGAGGGGATTAATAGGTATATGGGAGGGTTTGTGAGGCTTAAGGGGGATATAGAAAGATTGTGAGGAATATCTAGAATATCGGAGGATTAAGGTAATATTGACTACTTGATCCCTCGATGTAACATACTTGTCCCTGATATACTTGTCCCCTCCCCAACATCAACCCCAGCCAAAAATAGCAAATTTCCCGAAATTCCCGAAAATTACCGAAAATCGGGAATTCCCGACGTTTTTGGGTCGGGAATCCCGATTCCCGAAAATCAGGAATTGGATTTTTGTCGGGAATCCCGATTCCCGAAAATCGGGAATTGAATTTTTATGTCGGCTAGATCCCTGGCATACACCTCAGGGATTTATCCGTAATCAGGCCTGTTTATAACGTTTAACTTTCCATAGAAAGATAAAGAAAATATTTTAATCTCCCCATAAATTTTCTATTAGGAAGGTGTCTTATGTATGTTAATCACACCTATGTAGGTATTTTATTCGGGGATAACTAGACATAAAGAATTGATCTTAGGTAGATTTATTATACATATATTCGAAAACCAAACCAATTGGAAACCAAATAGGATATTCAATTTCCAAATTTCCCAATTCGCTTCCAATTAAAATATATAAACGACTTTTTAATCTATAATCATCATCAAAAAAATTTTGTAATTTTCGTGAATTTTTAATTAAATATTTTATTGTTAAATAATGAATATTATGCATTTGTTTATTTTTTGATTTTTCTTCAAACATTTTAACAATTTTATTTGTATTTTCTTCTTTTGTGCAGTCAAATTCTAATGAATAAATGATTGGATCATTCTGAAAATATTTTTTATCAATAAGTATGTAGGGTTGATCGAGTTCGGGTATTAACGAAATCTTAGATTCGGCTCCGGGGCCGCTCTATGTTGGCTCCGGGCTCCTTGTAGAAAATCAATGGATAATATTCTTTCTGGGGGTTTGGGTAGATTAATAGGGATATCGAATGTTATCAGGGGATAAGATGGTCATCAAGGTATTATAATCGGATTTTGGTAGATTATCGTGGGCACTGGCTACAAATTGATAATTAAATAAACTAACAATATTAATAATTTCAGGGAATTTATTCATATCATTCCTCCATAATTCATTACTTAAAAGTATTTTATTTTTCATCCAATTTTCAATAAAACAATGTAACACACAAAATTCTTTTTTTGAATTATTTATTCGTTTTAAAAGTTTTTCTATTCCTAAACTTTCATTAACAAATTCTTCAAATTTTTCAAAAAAGTTTGGAGATATTTGTTGAGACGTTAAATTTATTTTATTTGCAACTTTAAATTATAAATATTTAATTTTTAAGTTGATAAAAGTTTGTTTTTTAAATTAGTTTTAAAATAATTGAAAGTTTCTTAAGAGGGGATTATGGCAAAGTTTACCCAATTTTTTTGGCTTTTGGGACTGATATGGATAAATTTGATAACATTGGGAAACATATACTAATTAAATTAGAATTTAAAGAGAGAGGATCTGTTTTTTAATATTATTTAATTAAATACCATACTACTTATAAAACCAAAAAAATAACTAAAAATATTTTAAAATACCTGAATTAATTAAAGAATCTAGAAATTGTTTGTAATTAAATTTCATTGATTCAATAATTAAATCTTCACTAGGAATTTTATCTTTACACTCGATTGAAAGAAATTCAATAAATAAATTTGTTAATTTTTCTATTTCTTCACTTTCAAGAATTTCTTTATCATTTTTACAAAAAATATTATTTAAAAATAAAAATAATAAAAATAATTTTAAAATAAATAAATTATTCATTTTAACCTAAAAATATATTTAATTAATTTAATTAAATTAATAATTAATAAATAAAAAAAGAAAATTAAATTATATTTAAATTATGAATTTTGAAATTATTTAATAGTAAATAAATAATCGGCAATATCTTTGATGTTAATTTAAATATAAAATCAGTATTATGAAAGAATTATTAAAGGAAATTAAAGTGCATACAAAGTTAATTTTCGATTTTTTTGTAGTGCCGCGCAAAATTAAATAAAAGGGCAAGATACAATTTTTAGTCGATTTTGTAAAAAAAAAGTTTTAAATTGGCATTTTTTGGAGTGTTTATAAAAATAAGGCTACAAATAGTTGAAGTTTAGAATTGAAAGAATGAAAGTTAATAATAACGTCTTTGAAATTATTCAAATTTATGACAAAACTTCTCTATTCCAAACAAAAATTTTTATGCAAATTTTTTCATAATTTATAAGAATATAAATAGAATTTTAAAAAAATAAAAAAAAGTTATTAGAGAATCAATGCTTGCACTATAAAAAATTTTTAGATAACAGATAAATGTAAAATATTAGAGAACAAATAATATGTAAATCATATGATTTTGTTAAAGAAAATTACCACCTCCCATTTTTTGCGAAGGGAGTAAGACGTGGAAAACTAATACAATTATTTCTAGATTTTTATGGATAGTAAGGTCTATTTCGTAGGGTTTTATGGAGGGTTTAGCTTATTTTTAAATTTTAGCTCCATCGTCATCGTTCCTTGACATCATTTATTGGGGTGCTTTGGTATTTTAAAACGATTTACATGCTATCCCGCTGAATCGGTAAAAATGTCACACAACCCTTTTTTTACAACACGATATTAAAATTTATAATTTGATTATGCTTAAATATTTTAATGAATAAGTATATTTCTCATTCCACTTCCCGTTTTTCTAACTTTTTTTTAAATTTGATTTTGTTCTCCTTATTTATATACGAATACAAGAATGAAAATTTGGCCCTGTTTAAAAATAAAAACTTTTTTCCTTTCTTACATGAGAGAAATAGGTATCTTATTTTTTAATGAAATTAATTAAAATAGGTATGTTGATGAGTATTTTTGTTTATTAAATATTCATAAATTTATTTAAAACACATCTTCCTGTCTTGTAATTATTCTTGATTGATTTCTGGTTTCTGTAGGGTTTTTGTGGGTAGTATGTTGTGTTGTTCCTCCAACGTTAATCTGCATTGTTGTTGCAGCAATTCGATTGAGTCGAGACTTAAAAATTAAAATAATACATAACCATAAAATTTTATTAAATACCACACAAAGCATTCTAAGGACATCACGCTGAATCGTGTTATTTAATGATAAATAAACTATTGGTTTTGATCCATGAGCAAAAAACCAGCCAAACATTCCAGTGTAAATAATATATTTATTAATTCGAAAAAACTTTTTTTTAATTAAATTTATATTTAATAATTTAAAAAATAAATTACTTGCATATAAACATAAATTATACCAGCTATTATATTAATAGAACTGATCAACATAACTTGAATGAATATCTAGGAGATGGAAAATATTATAATTTATTTATGTTATTTTTAAGTATTTCATCTACAACTTATATGTAGATCTTTACTACATATAAATTAAAATGTTTACAGCCCGCACTGTTTTGGTAAAGTAATTTCTTCGAAGAAGAAAACGAGAAAAAACCGTCCCTAATATACCGTATTTCTTCTAATAGTGCGACTGACTCTTCTAATAAACCGACCCCCTAGAGGAAGGTTAAAAAATAAACCGACCGATCGCACTATCAGAAAAAATACGCTATCTTCGATCATATTTATTTTCTACAAAAATTATACAGACCTTTTTCTGAGAGCGACTTGTAGATTTTAATGCAGAGACTGATGATCCCTTACAAATTAATATCACAACAAAAAGTAAATAAGATCCAGGAAAGAGTGTAACAACAAGAAAATTGTTGAAACTGACCATTGGATTGTCATACTTTTAAAAAGAATTTAAAAATTCAAATTATTTAAAAAAACAATAGTTCCAAAATCATCAATATATCCAACATGCGGATTATAAAACCAAGAAAAGAGTACTCCACTAAACAATACAGGTTTAAATGTTGGCCCAAATAAAATTCCATAAAATAAAGGTAAAAGCATCCAAAGCCATGTTTTATAACCACGAAAGAGACGCTCGCCAATTGACGGCATTGAAATTTCTACACAACGATTTAGAGCTAATAAAATAGCGGAAAGGGTTTCGTTATACCAAAATACTTAAAAATTATTTTTAAATTCAAAATAATTACAAATTTATACCACAAGCTACCATTCCAGCAATGTAAATTGTGTTTGGAAATGAACAGAAGACAGCCCCGTTCAATGCTTAAAATTATTTCCTTTAAATTATAACAATTGGAGAGGAAACTTTAATACTCGAGGCAATTGGAACCAACGAAATAATTATAATCGGGAGCAATACTCTAATAATAGAAATAATTTCCAAAATTATAACAATTGGAGGGGAGCAAATTATAATCGAGGTCGTGGTAATGTAAGATGGGGACAACGTCGAGGAGCTGGATCTTTTAATTCGAATAAAATTCCTATAAATAATCCAAGAAATTTTGGAGCTGGAACATCGAATTCAGCACGAATTAATTCCCTAGCAATGCCTTATATTACTATAATGATGCTTTTAATGTTTTGCCAAGGAATTTTTGGACAATACCAAATTTGTCCAAAGGATAAAGTTGGTGAATCAATTGATTTTCCATCTCCTCAAGACTGTACTTTATCACTGACTCATCAGATGGAAATTAAAAATGTCACTTTATTTCTGCCAAAACTTGTCCCAAGGTATTTTCCGATTTACCGATGTTGGATGGAGAGACATGTTAAATGTACGGATTCTATTTTAGTATATCGGGAAGATTTACCAATTAAAAAAGAAAGATTTTCATTGAGTCAGGAAAGTTGTTGGAATTTATTTAAAAGCACAAAATTAAAAAGAATTAATGAAGTGTTATGGTCAATAATATTTTATAATGACTTAAAATATGCGTGGTTTGGACAACAATGTGTTATGGATAGACATTATTTTCTGGAAGAAGGAGAGGGTGCATTAATGAACAAAAGATTCGAGACCAGTTTTGGAGTCTCGAAATCTGTTGAGGCTCATACTATAAATGGTTCTTTTACAGATAAAGAAAAATTATTTTCGGTTATTGTTTGGAACGCTCCATCTGAAGATTATATTTATACACATTATTCATTTGGCCCAGTACAAGCAGAAATATTTTACAAAAATAATTCTGTAAATGGATTAGTTAAAATTAATGAATTACAATATGTTTTCGCGCCGTCCGAGAACATTACAAAAAGTTCAGATGTGTTAGGAGTTCCCGATGAAGCTTGGCCAATGGACAATGACGTTTATATATTAATATTAAATACAACAGAAAGAATTATTCAAAAAAGGCAAGTTACAAAAAAACAAAATTTTAGACGTACTACTACCACGACTACTACAACAACACCAATTCCGCCAACTTCTAACCCAATAAAAACAACAACTCGTCCATTATTGACTACAAAGCGGCCAATATCAATTACAAAAACAACGCCTATTCATGAAAAAATATTATATACCCCACCGACTATTGTGCCAAATTATCCTCTCCCAGGACAACAACAAATTAAAAATAATTATTTGAAAGGAGATCGAGGTGTACCGGGCCCAGAGGGAAGACCTGGAGCACCCGGAGAGAGAGGAGACATGGGATATACTGGACCTAGAGGAATGAAAGGAGCCCCTGGAGAAAAAGGAGATATGGGATATACGGGACCGAGAGGATCAAAAGGAGCATCGGGCCAGGATGCTGCTCCAGGGCTTAAAGGCGAGAAAGGTGATATTGGAATACCTGGAAGGCCAGGAAAAGAAGGATTACCCGGACTGATTGGGAAGGATGGTCTGGATGGATTACCAGGACCTCAGGGTCCGATTGGACCTAAAGGAGACAAAGGAAGCCCTGGTATTAATGGAAAGAATGGATTACCTGGACCAAAAGGAGAACCTGGATATTGGGATGAAAATTTAAAAATTTTACCGACTTTTACCCCTTTAAATAAAAGAGAATTGTTTGATCCCGAAGAAGCACAAAAAGAACGAGATAATAAAATTAAGGATAATCATGAAAAAAGTCGTTTAAATTATTTATCATGGGAAGAAGCACAAGCGCGAGAACAAATAATGAGAGAACAGTGGAAAATTACATGTCAAAATAGGAATCAACAATTGGAAATTGCTAAAATTATAGCTGAAACTAATCCAACCAAAGCAGCAAGATACCTTTATGGAAGAACGGATTTAATAGCATTTTTGGAGAGTGGAATAAAATTAAAATGGAATTTAGGATTATGTACACCAGTCAATGTTGAAGAAATAATATGGGACCAGAAAGTTGAAGATAAATGTTATGAATTACTTCCTGTAAAAATAAGAGGTAAATTATTGTTTGCCGCACCAGGAAACCCTGATTTGTTATTGGAGTCTAAAACAAAATCTTGCGAGGAAAAACCAATTATAGTAAATAAAACAAAGCTATTGAATTTTGATCAGGAACAACATTCATTAAAAATTAAACCCATAATTGATGTAAAGACTGGAATTCTTTTTAAAGCTGGAAATAAATTTGAGGAGGAGAAAGCAGAGGTGAAAGACATAGAAAAATTTTCAGATTTAATTCACCAATCTATGACATTACCGGAAGATATTAAACAGCCAGAGGTTGAGGATGTACTCTCAGAAATATTTGGCTTACCAAAAATATTAAAAGAAAGAGGAAGTAATGTTACTGGCGAAGTTTTTGAGAATTTAAAGGAAAATCTAGAGTTTGGTATTGAGAAAGGGAAAGAGGTTGCTAAGGATATAAAAGAAAAAGGAGGTGAAATAATAAGTGAAGCAAAGGAATTTATTGAGGATAAGTGGTCATTTATGCAGAGACTATATTGGATTTTAATGGCGTTTCTAATTTTGTCAGCTCTCTTAGTAATTACTTATTTATTTTGGAAATTTCGCGCATTATTCTCTCTCATGTGGAAAGGAATAATGATCGGAAGAACTGTTATTAGATTTTTCTTCAGAGGAAAAGGAGAAGGAAGTGAAAGAAAAGAAATTAAAGTTAATGCTATAGAAATGGAAGAACTGAAACCCAAACCTTCAGCCCCAACTTTAAATGATCTGGAAGAAAAGGCTTATATTCTGGATTATATACCTTCTGTTTGTTCTGTAAAAAGTCGAAAGAGATGCTATGTTGAAGTATTATTTGGAGGAAAAAGTCAAAAGGCACTCATTGATTGTGGCGCTGATATATCTTATTGTGGAGAATCAGTTGCTTCAAAATGTGGTTTAAAAATAAACTCGAATGATGTACCAATGGCGTGGGCTGCAAATTCAACACCAATTACATTTTTAGGTTCTGCAATGGTAACTATTGAAATTGGAGGATCAACAATGAGATGGCCATTCTTGGTATCAGAGGATAAATCATGTCCTGGAGGTTTAGTAATTGGGACAGACTTAATGGAAGAGAAGGAGGAAATCAAATTAAATTTTAAAAATAAAACAATTCAATTGGGAGAAGATATTTTACCAATGATTGCAGCAATGGAATACGTTGAATTACCAAAAAGACAAATAGAAGTGAGACTGTTGGAAAATTATGTTTTGCCCCCATTATCTGATTCACTCTTATGGGGAACTGTTAATAGAATTTTTGATCCAACCCAACAGTTCCTACTGGAAGAATGGAGTCAGCATGAGTATTGGCCAGTAAAAATTGGAAGAACTCTCTCGCAACCAGGATCTTCGCGTTTAATTCCTTTAAGAATATTAAATTTCGGAAATTCGCATGTTCAAATTTATGGAAAATCACGTGTTGGAATTTTAGAACCTGTTTATGATAATGAAAAGGAAGCCAATTCGGTTGAAGTATTTATGAAAAAAGATGAATATATTTCGCCAGAAGTTAATTGGGAAGATGAATTACCTCAATTACCTAATTTGGAAAGGAAAAGGGAAAAGATTTCAGATAAAATAAATTTAGAAAATACAGCGTTGTCTAAACAAGGAATTGTCTCTTTAAAAAATATGGTTGATGAAAAAAGTGAAGCATTTGTAAAATCTAATGGTATTATTGGTCTATACAAAGGGAATATAGTACACCAAATTGAGTTGGAACCAGGAACACGTCCAGTTCAACAAAGACCATATACTATACCACATGCCTTGAGGGAGGAAGTCGAAAAACAAATAAAGGAAATGATAAAACAGAATATAATTAAACCATCTTCCTCAGCCTGGGCTTCACCAATTGTTCTTGTAAAAAAGGCTGACGGCAAATCTTGGAGATTTGCAGTTGATTATAGAGCTCTGAATAAATGCACTAAAAAGCAAACTTATTTATTACCGCGAATTCAAGATTTACTTGATGTAGTTGGGGGAAAGAGTCTCTTTTCTATTTTTGATTTACAAAGTGGATTCCATCAGGTAAAAATGAATAAAAAGCACACGGATAGAACAGCTTTTATTACCCATTGTGGCCTCTATGAATTTTTGCGACTGCCATTGGTCTTGCTGGAGCCCCACATACGTTTCAAAAAGTAATGGAAGAGATGAGACAACAATTGTCTCGAAGTTTCTTAGTATATTTAGATGATGTAATACTAGGAAGCGAAACAGAAAATCAACATTTAAATGATTTAAATGCATTTTTGAATGTTTTATGTGAGGTTGGAATGAAGCTACGAGCAGAAAAATGCAGATGGGGTTGTTCTGAAATTCGATATCTAGGATTCTTGATATCTGAAAGAGGAGTGCGACTGGATGATTCTGATTTAAAACCAATATTAAAAATTAAGAGGCCAGAAAATCTAGCTGAATTACGGTCATTGATTGGCATGTTTAGTTACTTTAGGAGGTTTATTCGTGGATTTGCAGGAATTATGGCACCAATCTATGAACTTACAAAAAAGGAATCTACAAGAGACTGGAACGAAAAACATGACGAAATTTTGGAAGATATGAAAAGTAGACTAACATCAGCACCGATTTTGGCCACACCTAAATTTGGAAAACCTTTCATATTAGAAACCGATGCGAGTGGAATTGCCATTGGAGCATGTCTTTTACAAGAAAATAATAAAAAAGAAGTTCATCCAATTGCTTTCTATTCCCGGACTCTAAATAAACATGAGAAGAATTATAGTGTAGTGGAATTGGAAGCTTTAGCTTTGGTATCCGCCCTAAAACAATTTCGAGTGTATTTAGAAGGAGCGGGGACTTCGACAGTAATTACCGACAACTCCGCTTTGACATCTCTATTTCGAAGAAAAGATCTCCAAGGACGTTTAGCTCGCTATCAGATTGTATTACAAGCTTTCGATGTGAATATTATTTATCGCCCAGGGAAATTTAATAAGGTCGGAGATCATCTTTCGAGATACCCGCCTGAGGCAGATATAGAAATTAAATCAATAGAAATTGAGAAAAAAATTTCGATTGATGAGTTAAGTAAAGCACAAAAATGTGATCGGGAAATTTTATTAAAACACCAAGAAAATGAAGAAAATATCAAGGGAATAAATGGAATTATTTGTGAAAAGATAAAAGATGATTGGAAGATTTTAATACCCCAGGCAATAAAAAATAAAATAATTAAAGAATTTCATGAGGATCCACTGCAAGGAGCTCATCTTGGAATTAATCGTACATTAGAGAAAATTAAGAGATCGATGCATTGGAAAGGATTAGCGAAGGATGTCGCCGACAGAATAAGAATTTGTGAAGTTTGCCAAAAGAGGAAGGTCGTGGGAGTACACCTGAGTAGAGAGGAGATTTGTCCAATAGAACCAGCTTCAAGACCCTTCGACAGAGTACATTTGGACCTGTTGGGTCCAATTCAGAAATCATTTCGAGGGCATCAATATATTTTTGTTGCGGTTGACTCATTCAGTAAATGGGCGATTGCTGTGCCCATTCGGAATCAAACCGCAACCACAATATCCGAGATATTTGTAAAAGAAATTATTTGTCGATTTGGAATACCTTCACTAGTAGTCACGGACCAAGGAACCCAATTTATGTCATCCACGTTTACAGACTTAGCGCAAGCAATGAATTTTTGTCACAAACCTACAACCGCTTATCATCAATCAGCTAATGGAATGGTTGAACGTTTTAATAGAACATTAGCGGATATGATAGCTACTTGCACTGAACAGGGTAAACAGTGGGTGGACGTATTGCCTCAAGCAATTTTCGCATATAATACGTCGTATAATCAACAAATAAATAATTCTCCATTTTATGTTATTCATGGATTCGCCCCTAAACTACCCACGGAAGCTGCTCTTGGGATTGAAAAAGAAAAATTTAATGATATGAATTTATATGTGAAAAAGCTTGTAGAAAATTTGGAACTCGTAAGATCAGAAGTCAAATGCCGGTTACAGGGAAATATGAATATTATGAGAAAGCAACAAGTTAAAATTAATAAGAAAAAATGGGAGAAGGGAGAGAAGGTTTTGGTGAAGAAAATGGAAAATATTAAGAAGTTTGGAGATAAATATGAGGGCCCTTTCATAATTGTTGAGCTCCAACACCCAAATTTATTAATTTCTGACTCGGGGTTGGCAGAGGAGGCATGGTTGGTTCACATGGATAGATGTAAACCATTTTATTCGGAAGAAATGGTAAATAAAAAGGATAAGAGAGTGGTTGGTGATACGAATCTGGAGCAGTCAGATAGTGATGAAGAGGACCGAATACAAATAAATGCTATTATTAACAATTTGGAATGTATTAACACTAACAAAACTAATGCGAGCACTCATAACTCATTCCTTGATGAGAATAATAAAAAATTTACTAACTCAAATGCTACAAAAGAAACTAATTTGAATATAAATTTTCAGATAAAAAAAGATTTAATCAAATCTAAAATTATTATTATATTAAAAATGCCTAATTCTAATTCAACTTCATCTTCAATAATTTTTGAACAACAAAATAGACTACCGTGGCACTTTGAGGATGTGTCATCACCTGAACTTTCCGAGGATGATGAACGAATTATGCCATATTTAAAGGAAGATAAGGAAAAAGAAAAAGCCAAAAAGATCGCCAAAAATATTGAGGACAATAAAAGTAAAAGTGCCGGAGTGAAGAGAAAGAAGGAGGAACAGGAAATTGCTAATTCGGTTGACTGGGATATGGCATACCGTTTGAAAAGAATTAGAAGCAAATATGAAGACGACATGTTGACAAAACATAATGATATATGGAAAGAGATTCTGAAAAAAGGCGATCAGTTCCATGCTAAGATACAAGATAAGTTGCACAAGGAAAGAAAAGCATTAGAAAAGGAGCGGAAAGAGAAGAAGAAAGGGAGAAAAAACGAAAAGAAGCAAACAAGAGAGGAGGCTGAAACTGAAGCAAACCAAAAAAAACAAAGGAAAACCCCAGGAAGGAAGTAAAAATGAGATCTGAAGCTAAAATAGAAAAGAAGAAACTGGATGATGAGAAAAAGAAGCCTAGAGAAGTCGAAATTAAAAATAAAGTGGATACTAAGCCCAAAGAGAAAAAGACTGGTGTTAGTGACTTCATAAAATTTGCTAGCCGAGTGGTACAAAGAGCAGTGGTTGATAAAACAGATGACGTAGTTCCTGAAGAGTTACCCGAGGATAAGAAGAAAATAATAAAGGAAAAAGAAGAAGAAGAAAAATTGGTAAAATTGGGGAAATATCAACAGAAAATGAAATCTCGACAAAAGGATTTTGATGAGGAATTCGTCGCTAGAGGTTTTAAAACGCGAGAATATTCTATGTCACCAGTTAGACGTCCAGTTGTGGGATATATAGATGAAAAGGACAAAAAGGATAAAATGGGAAAAATTAAAGCTAAAGAAAATAAGAAGGTGGAAATAACTACAAAGGAGATTGGAGTGAATACTGTTTTTAATACTTTGGTTTTCAACCGAATTTTGGAAAACCTAGAGGAAGTTCAGGATTTTTTGACTTTAAAGCCAACCGCTAAATAAAGGAAATACAACAACAACAACAACCAATAAAATAAAAATAAAACAAAAAAAAATTAATAAAAATTAAAAACTTCAAAAAAAATATTATTATAATCACATATATTCATAATTACATCAAACATTTTCATCAAACTTTTAATAAATATTTCTTATTCATATTAATCACAATATTCAACAACACAATTACTACCACAAACATTTTAATTAATACAACAATTATTTTTAAATATTTTATTAAATTTACCCACACAAGGAATGTCCATTGGAAGAACACACAACAATAATAAATAAAAATAAAGTGAACATTGATGTTTAATAATAAAATTAATTTTAAATAAATTAAATATTTTTCAAATTGATGAAATATTTAATAATTTTTAAAAATTAAAAAAGGAAATCTTCGATTTGTGGACTGATTGCTTTCAATTCTAAATAATTTGTGTCTTCCTTTTGGCCGCCCAAATCTCTCTTTTTCTAGCACCTGGCCCATACTTATTTTAAAAAAAATACAAAAGAAAGGAAAAATTTATAAAAGATGAAAAAGAAAAATAAAATTGATTAAAATTAAAAATAAATAAAATAAATTTTAAGCCAAATTTACAATGTTACTTTGTAGGGCCCTCCTCCTCCAAGTTCGCCTTAAAGCTACCAAAACATCTTTAAACTTTTAAAGTTCAAGGATGAACTTGGAGGGAGGAGAGGAATGTGATAGGAAAAAGAACAGCTGTCACTAAACTTTTTCCTCATCCCCAATTTCTTCAATTCATTCATATATTGTTTAATAAAAATACTCCCAAAAGAATAAATATTTGTTAAAAGAAAAGTAGAGGTTTAATTTAGAAAAAGACGCTCGAACGCGTCTCCGGTTCCCTTTCGGGAACCGGAGACCCAACGTTCGAGTCCTCATTAAACTTTACTATTATACAATGTAACACACAAAATTCTTTTTTTGAATTATTTATTCGTTTTAAAAGTTTTTCTATTCCTAAACTTTCATTAACAAATTCTTCAAATTTTTCAAAAAAGTTTGGAGATATTTGTTGAGACGTTAAATTTATTTTATTTGCAACTTTAAATTATAAATATTTAATTTTTAAGTTGATAAAAGTTTGTTTTTTAAATTAGTTTTAAAATAATTGAAAGTTTCTTAAGAGGGGATTATGGCAAAGTTTACCCAATTTTTTTGGCTTTTGGGACTGATATGGATAAATTTGATAACATTGGGAAACATATACTAATTAAATTAGAATTTAAAGAGAGAGGATCTGTTTTTTAATATTATTTAATTAAATACCATACTACTTATAAAACCAAAAAAATAACTAAAAATATTTTAAAATACCTGAATTAATTAAAGAATCTAGAAATTGTTTGTAATTAAATTTCATTGATTCAATAATTAAATCTTCACTAGGAATTTTATCTTTACACTCGATTGAAAGAAATTCAATAAATAAATTTGTTAATTTTTCTATTTCTTCACTTTCAAGAATTTCTTTATCATTTTTACAAAAAATATTATTTAAAAATAAAAATAATAAAAATAATTTTAAAATAAATAAATTATTCATTTTAACCTAAAAATATATTTAATTAATTTAATTAAATTAATAATTAATAAATAAAAAAAGAAAATTAAATTATATTTAAATTATGAATTTTGAAATTATTTAATAGTAAATAAATAATCGGCAATATCTTTGATGTTAATTTAAATATAAAATCAGTATTATGAAAGAATTATTAAAGGAAATTAAAGTGCATACAAAGTTAATTTTCGATTTTTTTGTAGTGCCGCGCAAAATTAAATAAAAGGGCAAGATACAATTTTTAGTCGATTTTGTAAAAAAAAAGTTTTAAATTGGCATTTTTTGGAGTGTTTATAAAAATAAGGCTACAAATAGTTGAAGTTTAGAATTGAAAGAATGAAAGTTAATAATAACGTCTTTGAAATTATTCAAATTTATGACAAAACTTCTCTATTCCAAACAAAAATTTTTATGCAAATTTTTTCATAATTTATAAGAATATAAATAGAATTTTAAAAAAATAAAAAAAAGTTATTAGAGAATCAATGCTTGCACTATAAAAAATTTTTAGATAACAGATAAATGTAAAATATTAGAGAACAAATAATATGTAAATCATATGATTTTGTTAAAGAAAATTACCACCTCCCATTTTTTGCGAAGGGAGTAAGACGTGGAAAACTAATACAATTATTTCTAGATTTTTATGGATAGTAAGGTCTATTTCGTAGGGTTTTATGGAGGGTTTAGCTTATTTTTAAATTTTAGCTCCATCGTCATCGTTCCTTGACATCATTTATTGGGGTGCTTTGGTATTTTAAAACGATTTACATGCTATCCCGCTGAATCGGTAAAAATGTCACACAACCCTTTTTTTACAACACGATATTAAAATTTATAATTTGATTATGCTTAAATATTTTAATGAATAAGTATATTTCTCATTCCACTTCCCGTTTTTCTAACTTTTTTTTAAATTTGATTTTGTTCTCCTTATTTATATACGAATACAAGAATGAAAATTTGGCCCTGTTTAAAAATAAAAACTTTTTTCCTTTCTTACATGAGAGAAATAGGTATCTTATTTTTTAATGAAATTAATTAAAATAGGTATGTTGATGAGTATTTTTGTTTATTAAATATTCATAAATTTATTTAAAACACATCTTCCTGTCTTGTAATTATTCTTGATTGATTTCTGGTTTCTGTAGGGTTTTTGTGGGTAGTATGTTGTGTTGTTCCTCCAACGTTAATCTGCATTGTTGTTGCAGCAATTCGATTGAGTCGAGACTTAAAAATTAAAATAATACATAACCATAAAATTTTATTAAATACCACACAAAGCATTCTAAGGACATCACGCTGAATCGTGTTATTTAATGATAAATAAACTATTGGTTTTGATCCATGAGCAAAAAACCAGCCAAACATTCCAGTGTAAATAATATATTTATTAATTCGAAAAAACTTTTTTTTAATTAAATTTATATTTAATAATTTAAAAAATAAATTACTTGCATATAAACATAAATTATACCAGCTATTATATTAATAGAACTGATCAACATAACTTGAATGAATATCTAGGAGATGGAAAATATTATAATTTATTTATGTTATTTTTAAGTATTTCATCTACAACTTATATGTAGATCTTTACTACATATAAATTAAAATGTTTACAGCCCGCACTGTTTTGGTAAAGTAATTTCTTCGAAGAAGAAAACGAGAAAAAACCGTCCCTAATATACCGTATTTCTTCTAATAGTGCGACTGACTCTTCTAATAAACCGACCCCCTAGAGGAAGGTTAAAAAATAAACCGACCGATCGCACTATCAGAAAAAATACGCTATCTTCGATCATATTTATTTTCTACAAAAATTATACAGACCTTTTTCTGAGAGCGACTTGTAGATTTTAATGCAGAGACTGATGATCCCTTACAAATTAATATCACAACAAAAAGTAAATAAGATCCAGGAAAGAGTGTAACAACAAGAAAATTGTTGAAACTGACCATTGGATTGTCATACTTTTAAAAAGAATTTAAAAATTCAAATTATTTAAAAAAACAATAGTTCCAAAATCATCAATATATCCAACATGCGGATTATAAAACCAAGAAAAGAGTACTCCACTAAACAATACAGGTTTAAATGTTGGCCCAAATAAAATTCCATAAAATAAAGGTAAAAGCATCCAAAGCCATGTTTTATAACCACGAAAATTTTTATTTAAATTAACAGATAAATAATAGTCTAAAAATATTGTTGAGATAACATTATCAAATAAAAAAATTAAAAAAAATTTTTTTAAAGGAAGAGTTGCCCGTAAACTTGATAATTATTTGGAATATGGTGCAGCAACTCTCTTACTTTTACTCTGTGCCTATGTTCTTGTAGCTCACTGGATGGCCTGTATTTGGTATGTAATTGGTGAATACGAGGCTAGAAATAAATTTCATTTTCTTCAAGAACAGACTTTGGCTGATGGGTATTTTTAAAGAAAATTTTTTTAAAAAATTTTAAATTTTAGTTGGCTAATCCGTCTTTCATATGACTTAAAAATGCCATTTAATTCGAGTGCTTCAAATCTAAGTAGATTAGTTGGAGGTCCAGATAAAACACATTGTTATGTGTCTTCTTTATATTTTACAATGTCTTGTATGTCCACCGTTGGGTTTGGAAATATTGCAAGTACAACTATGAATGAAAAAATATTCGGAATGTTAGTATATTCTGTACTTCTTTAATAATTTTAAAATAGAATAAACAAGTAGGATCAGCTACAAAGTAGAGCCAAATAGGGAATCAGAGTCAATAATTATTACGTTACGTTATGAAGAAAGAGAGAGATCTCTCTCGAAGAATGCCATTTTTGAATCACTTTCAGAGTTTTTTAAAGGTCTTACCTTTATTTTTAGTAAAGTCTATGAAATTGGATCTAAAAAAGTTTTTTAAGTTTTGGTTCGGGATCAGGTTCGATTCCTTATATACGAAAGTCTTCCCAGATCCATCAAATCGAATTTCGAGAAAAATATCTCAATCCATCTTCTATCTAGTAATTAATACAATTCCTTTATTCAGTTATCTTACCGAAATAAATAAATATATAGATAAATTTGAGAGAAGTTTTTTTCAACTTTTAATATCAAAATCCTTTTAAAATTTAAATTTTACATATTTTTAGTTGTATGATGATTATTTCTGCACTTTTGTATGCAGCCATTTTTGGTCATATGACTACAATAATACAACAAATGACTTCCTCTACACAGAGGTGTTGAATTAATTTTTGATTAAAAATCTTTTTCTCTAAGATATCATCAAATGATTAGCGATGTTCGGGAATTTATTCGTCTTCAAGAAATTCCCAAAGATTTGGCAGAAAAAGTAGTTGATTATATTGTTTCGACCTGGACAATAAGTAAAGGAATTGAATCAAATAAAGTTCTTGGCTTTTGCCCGAAAGATATGCGGGCTGACATTGTTTTTTTTAAATTAACAAATATTTTTAAAAATTTTTTATTTAGTGTGTTCATATGAATAGAAAAGTTTTTAATGAACACATTTGTTTTAAATTAATGTCTGATGGATGTAAAAGGGCATTTGCTACAAATATGGAAACTATACATGCGGCACCAGGCAAATAATTAAACCGAAAAAATTAAATATACCTTGATATTTTGGAGGGGGGGGGAGGCTTGATAAGTAACCTCAACTTAAATTAATCGTCGTGGTCCGTTCTTCGTGGTTAGGGTTGAGGGCTCGATCCGGACCGGTCCGCAAGATTGGGTCGGGCATTTGGCCCTAAAAAGACTCGGTCAGCCAGCCCGATAAAAATGAGGCCCGAAAAAATGACTCAACGTCGGCCCGACTCGAAAACCCCAACCCTATTTGTGGTAATTTTAAATGTTATTTTGGAGGGAGGATTTACTTGTTTTGTCACCCATTAACATCAATAATTAAAAAAAATTTTTTTAATCAAAAAAAAATTTAATTTTAGGCGACCTTCTCTACCATACAGGTGAATCTGTAGATGCTTTATGGTTTGTAGTTCAAGGATCTTTGGAGGTTAAGCAGGTAAATAAATAATTTTAGATTAATTATTTAATTAAAAAAAGGATGATGAAGTTGTGGCTATACTCGGGAAGGGAGATGTTTTTGGAGATGAATTTTGGAAACACAATAGAACCGGTCAATCATCGTGTATGGTTCAGGCATTAACTTATTCTGATTTGGTTAATTATTTATTTATAATAAAAAAATTAATTTTCTATGTAAATATTTTATATTCTGAAAAAAACTGATTATGTTTGTTTGAAAATGAAAGGGGGAGAGGGAAATTTTTTGAAATTTGAAGGTTGAAGGCGAAAAAAATTCACTTTTTTGACCATCTTCTCCTAATTTTCCCCCTTTCCCCCATTTTGGGAGGGGGAGTGGGCTTCAGACCTCAGCCCTCCCCCTGGATACGCCCTTGGGGTGATGTTAACAAAAATATCTATTGTTTCTGTTCAATACAATTTTATTTTTAAAGCATTTCATCAAAAGAGAACCATTACTTCAGTAAGTCTCATTTTTTCCCAAAATTTCTTTAAAATTATTTTTTCTTAAGAGTTTTAAGCTTTTACAAGCCTTTTGCAAATTCATTGGCTCGAAATTTAGTATTAACTTACAATTTGACAAATCGAGTAAATATATTTAAATAAAAACAAAAGAAGAATAATTTTTTAAGATAAAATTTCGTAAAGTTTTGGATGTAAAACGAGAACAAGAATTGGAAGAAAGGCGAAAAATTGAGAAATTGGAAATAGCAACAGACCATCCAATTCGGAAATTACTTCAAAGAATGCAGGAACGACATGCTGGTGGTCTTTCATTTCTTAAAATAAATAATTTTTTAAAATTTATTTAAAGCCCGTATAGCTTCAACTCGAGCCGAAGAAGAAATTCATTTAGTTCAGAACGAAATAAATACAATTATGGAACATGGAAATTCTCTTGATGGAAATTGTGATGGGGGAAGTGAAAGAATAGAAATGTCTGGGGTTTTAAATAAATTGAGTAGGCTGGAGAGAATGTTGGAAACTTTGATAGGAAAACAGTTGGAAGAAGGTAAAATTTAAAGAAAATATTAAATTCCATTTAGTAAGTATTAAATAAGGCTACAAAAATACACAAAAATAAATAGCCAAAAGTTTTTTTTTGGTAGAACATAAAACGTGAAGAGAAAATTTTTCCCAAAGTAATTTTCCGCCACGTACGTACAGTGTGTCCAATAATGATACGTCCACCCTAATTTTTACCGATTTTGATATGTTATTGGTAAAAAATCATTTTGATATTTTTTATAATATTTTAGTGTACTAAAATATTAAGATTAAAACTAGTATTCTGAATTAATTATCAGTTTTTCAACTTGTTTAAACTATTTTATCTAAATATGGTGTCCAAAAATGATACGTCCACTTTTAAAAAACTAACAGAAATCATATTAGAAATGGCTGAAAATTTTTGCAAAAATTCCTGTGAATATTTCCATTAATAATAAGTAGAAAAACAAAAAGAATGAAGTATATAAGTGCTTTTTTGATAGAGATCCAGAATCTCGAAAATCAACGGCAAATGGGCTTACAATACTTTAAAAAATATTTTAACCCCCTTAGGTATTGTATAAAAATTTTTTTCAGGCCCTCCAGAAAGCCCACAAAATTTGCTACAAAAAACACTTAGTCCTATCTTGGAGAAAAATTCTACCTTCGAGGAGACTAAGGTTAAATTTAGAAACTCGAAATAATGACAATTTATGGGCTAATTTGTGTTAATTTATTAATCTTCTCAATTAATCCAAGGCTCCTCGACGGTAGAATTTTTCTACAGGATAGGACTAAGTGTTTTTTGTAGCAAATTTTGTGGGCTTTCGAATGAACCCAAAATGAGAATTCGAAATAATTTATAATGGGTCGAAAATATTTTTTAAAAAAATTTACCCCTGTTTTACGTTGATATTATAGGTAACAGGATCTCGACTTCGGGTAAAGTTATGGGCCTAGTTCTTTTTTATTTTCTCTTATTATCAATATACATGTTTACTGGAATTTTTGTAGATTTTTCTTAATGTTGGAAATACCTTTTTTGTAAAGTGGACGTATCATTTTTGGACACCTTATTTTGATAAAATGATTATTAAAATTTTTCTAATAGATATTTAATCCGGAATACTAGTTTTAATCTTAATATTTTAGTACACTAAAATATTATAAAAAATATCAAAATGATTTTTTACCAATAACATATAAAAATCGCTAAAAATTAGGGCGGACGTATCATTATTGGACACACTGTATAAGTAAAAAATTCTTTTTTTTAGTAATGAATTTGATGAATGAATTTCTAAATGAATTTCTTCTTCGGCTCGAGTTGAAGCTATACGGGCTTTAAATAAATTTTAAAAAATTATTTATTTTAAGAAATGAAAGACCACCAGCATGTCGTTCCTGCATTCTTTGAAGTAATTTCCGAATTGGATGGTCTGTTGCTATTTCCAATTTCTCAATTTTTCGCCTTTCTTCCAATTCTTGTTCTCGTTTTACATCCAAAACTTTACGAAATTTTATCTTAAAAAATTATTCTTCTTTTGTTTTTATTTAAATATATTTACTCGATTTGTCAAATTGTAAGTTAATACTAAATTTCGAGCCAATGAATTTGCAAAAGGCTTGTAAAAGCTTAAAACTCTTAAGAAAAAATAATTTTAAAGAAATTTTGGGAAAAAATGAGACTTACTGAAGTAATGGTTCTCTTTTGATGAAATGCTTTAAAAATAAAATTGTATTGAACAGAAACAATAGATATTTTTGTTAACATCACCCCAAGGGCGTATCCAGGGGGAGGGCTGAGGTCTGAAGCCCACTCCCCCTCCCAAAATGGGGGAAAGGGGGAAAATTAGGAGAAGATGGTCAAAAAAGTGAATTTTTTTCGCCTTCAACCTTCAAATTTCAAAAAATTTCCCTCTCCCCCTTTCATTTTCAAACAAACATAATCAGTTTTTTTCAGAATATAAAATATTTACATAGAAAATTAATTTTTTTATTATAAATAAATAATTAACCAAATCAGAATAAGTTAATGCCTGAACCATACACGATGATTGACCGGTTCTATTGTGTTTCCAAAATTCATCTCCAAAAACATCTCCCTTCCCGAGTATAGCCACAACTTCATCATCCTTTTTTTAATTAAATAATTAATCTAAAATTATTTATTTACCTGCTTAACCTCCAAAGATCCTTGAACTACAAACCATAAAGCATCTACAGATTCACCTGTATGGTAGAGAAGGTCGCCTAAAATTAAATTTTTTTTTGATTAAAAAAATTTTTTTTAATTATTGATGTTAATGGGTGACAAAACAAGTAAATCCTCCCTCCAAAATAACATTTAAAATTACCACAAATAGGGTTGGGGTTTTCGAGTCGGGCCGACGTTGAGTCATTTTTTCGGGCCTCATTTTTATCGGGCTGGCTGACCGAGTCTTTTTAGGGCCAAATGCCCGACCCAATCTTGCGGACCGGTCCGGATCGAGCCCTCAACCCTAACCACGAAGAACGGACCACGACGATTAATTTAAGTTGAGGTTACTTATCAAGCCTCCCCCCCCCTCCAAAATATCAAGGTATATTTAATTTTTTCGGTTTAATTATTTGCCTGGTGCCGCATGTATAGTTTCCATATTTGTAGCAAATGCCCTTTTACATCCATCAGACATTAATTTAAAACAAATGTGTTCATTAAAAACTTTTCTATTCATATGAACACACTAAATAAAAAATTTTTAAAAATATTTGTTAATTTAAAAAAAACAATGTCAGCCCGCATATCTTTCGGGCAAAAGCCAAGAACTTTATTTGATTCAATTCCTTTACTTATTGTCCAGGTCGAAACAATATAATCAACTACTTTTTCTGCCAAATCTTTGGGAATTTCTTGAAGACGAATAAATTCCCGAACATCGCTAATCATTTGATGATATCTTAGAGAAAAAGATTTTTAATCAAAAATTAATTCAACACCTCTGTGTAGAGGAAGTCATTTGTTGTATTATTGTAGTCATATGACCAAAAATGGCTGCATACAAAAGTGCAGAAATAATCATCATACAACTAAAAATATGTAAAATTTAAATTTTAAAAGGATTTTGATATTAAAAGTTGAAAAAAACTTCTCTCAAATTTATCTATATATTTATTTATTTCGGTAAGATAACTGAATAAAGGAATTGTATTAATTATTAGATAGAAGATGGATTGAGATATTTTTCTCGAAATTCGATTTGATGGATCTGGGAAGACTTTCGTATATAAGGAATCGAACCTGATCCCGAACCAAAACTTAAAAAACTTTTTTAGATCCAAATTCATAGACTTTACTAAAAATAAAGGTAAGACCTTTAAAAAACTCTGAAAGTGATTCAAAAATGGCATTCTTCGAGAGAGATCTCTCTCTTTCTTCATAACGTAACGTAATAATTATTGACTCTGATTCCCTATTTGGCTCTACTTTGTAGCTGATCCTACTTGTTTATTCTATTTTAAAATTATTAAAGAAGTACAGAATATACTAACATTCCGAATATTTTTTCATTCATAGTTGTACTTGCAATATTTCCAAACCCAACGGTGGACATACAAGACATTGTAAAATATAAAGAAGACACATAACAATGTGTTTTATCTGGACCTCCAACTAATCTACTTAGATTTGAAGCACTCGAATTAAATGGCATTTTTAAGTCATATGAAAGACGGATTAGCCAACTAAAATTTAAAATTTTTTAAAAAAATTTTCTTTAAAAATACCCATCAGCCAAAGTCTGTTCTTGAAGAAAATGAAATTTATTTCTAGCCTCGTATTCACCAATTACATACCAAATACAGGCCATCCAGTGAGCTACAAGAACATAGGCACAGAGTAAAAGTAAGAGAGTTGCTGCACCATATTCCAAATAATTATCAAGTTTACGGGCAACTCTTCCTTTAAAAAAATTTTTTTTAATTTTTTTATTTGATAATGTTATCTCAACAATATTTTTAGACTATTATTTATCTGTTAATTTAAATAAAAATTCACACCAAGTCGGAGAAGTCGGACAACTTTTAGGGCAATTCGAAATAATTTATAATGGGTCGAAAATATTTTTTAAAAAAATTTACCCCTGTTTTACGTTGATATTATAGGTAACAGGATCTCGACTTCGGGTAAAGTTATGGGCCTAGTTCTTTTTTATTTTCTCTTATTATCAATATACATGTTTACTGGAATTTTTGTAGATTTTTCTTAATGTTGGAAATACCTTTTTTGTAAAGTGGACGTATCATTTTTGGACACCTTATTTTGATAAAATGATTATTAAAATTTTTCTAATAGATATTTAATCCGGAATACTAGTTTTAATCTTAATATTTTAGTACACTAAAATATTATAAAAAATATCAAAATGATTTTTTACCAATAACATATAAAAATCGCTAAAAATTAGGGCGGACGTATCATTATTGGACACACTGTATAAGTAAAAAATTCTTTTTTTTAGTAAGAATTACTTTGAAATTATTAAAATAAAAATACAGATTTGAAAACATAAATCAGTATTACTGACTAATAAATACATATAAGGGCCTTCCTTTAATTAGGTTGACTTATTAAAGGGCCTCCTTTTCCTGTTTCCTTTTGGCATTCACAAACAAAATAGTTTCTACTGTAACTTCTAATTTTGTCCACTGTATTTATCCTAATTGAATGGCCACCATTCTAATTACCTTCTTAATTAATTAGATCGTTATATCTACACTCCACATGCTGTACCCAAATTAAAAACTACAGATCATCACCAACAACATCAAATACCTCGATTCGCCTTAATTCCTCCAATAAATGATCCAAACATTCCTCCAAAATATTATTCAACTTCTTTTACTTCTCCCACCCCTCATGCTGAAAGAAATAATAGTAATACTTTATTATATCGCTCAACTCTTCGAAATGCCTCAAAATTGAGACGGTCTTCTCGTGAACGTTCATTATCTATGGAAAAGGGTGGAGGAGGTGATCAACTAGAAGATTCTCCACAAATTTTAATACCTCAGTCTAAATTAACAACACCCCAAAGTATGAGATAATTTTTATAAAAAATTTAAATATTTTAAAAAGAGAAAAATTTTTGAATTCAATTAAGTCATCCGAATGGAAATAAATAGGGTTGGCGTTTCTGATTCGAACTGACGTTCGCTGCATTTTTTCGAGCTTGGGTTTTTACGCTTCGGTTGTTTTCGAGTTTTTCGAGATGAAAAGCCCTCGGCTCGCTCGATCTTTCGAGTTCGGTTCGAGTGAGCTAACAACCCTATAATAAACCTTTAACAGAAAATTTTCTCTTGATTTTGCTTAGAAATCCTTCTAATATTATTATTTTTTAATTTATTAAAGTCCCGCCTTTACGACTTAACGATGAACCAACAACATTATCACAATCTTCTCACCTATTAGCTAATCATAAACAACAAGGCCAACGCCAGTCTATTTTTAGACAGCAAAGCAAAGAAGTACCATCACTAGAACGTTGCCCTTGTTGTAATAATTCACCTTCTTCCTCAACTTTTGAAAGGCAACACAATATAATATCCTCTTTTACTTCAACAACACATAATGTTCCCCAAATTCATATTGAACAAGGATGGACAGAAAATGTTGAGGAAGGGATTGGGACAGTTGGAAGTGATGGAGAATTACTTCCTCTTCTTCTAATTGGCGGTGGTTTCCCTTGAGAATCACTCGTTTGAGGAAGTAATTCTCCATCACTTCCAACTGTCCCAATCCCTTCCTCAACATTTTCTGTCCATCCTTGTTCAATATGAATTTGGGGAACATTATGTGTTGTTGAAGTAAAAGAGGATATTATATTGTGTTGCCTTTCAAAAGTTGAGGAAGAAGGTGAATTATTACAACAAGGGCAACGTTCTAGTGATGGTACTTCTTTGCTTTGCTGTCTAAAAATAGACTGGCGTTGGCCTTGTTGTTTATGATTAGCTAATAGGTGAGAAGATTGTGATAATGTTGTTGGTTCATCGTTAAGTCGTAAAGGCGGGACTTTAATAAATTAAAAAATAATAATATTAGAAGGATTTCTAAGCAAAATCAAGAGAAAATTTTCTGTTAAAGGTTTATTATAGGGTTGTTAGCTCACTCGAACCGAACTCGAAAGATCGAGCGAGCCGAGGGCTTTTCATCTCGAAAAACTCGAAAACAACCGAAGCGTAAAAACCCAAGCTCGAAAAAATGCAGCGAACGTCAGTTCGAATCAGAAACGCCAACCCTATTTATTTCCATTCGGATGACTTAATTGAATTCAAAAATTTTTCTCTTTTTAAAATATTTAAATTTTTTATAAAAATTATCTCATACTTTGGGGTGTTGTTAATTTAGACTGAGGTATTAAAATTTGTGGAGAATCTTCTAGTTGATCACCTCCTCCACCCTTTTCCATAGATAATGAACGTTCACGAGAAGACCGTCTCAATTTTGAGGCATTTCGAAGAGTTGAGCGATATAATAAAGTATTACTATTATTTCTTTCAGCATGAGGGGTGGGAGAAGTAAAAGAAGTTGAATAATATTTTGGAGGAATGTTTGGATCATTTATTGGAGGAATTGGATCATTTATCATTTATTGGATCATTTATCATTCGAAAGCCCACAAAATTTGCTACAAAAAACACTTAGTCCTATCCTGTAGAAAAATTCTACCGTCGAGGAGCCTTGGATTAATTGAGAAGATTAATAAATTAACACAAATTAGCCCATAAATTGTCATTATTTCGAGTTTCTAAATTTAACCTTAGTCTCCTCGAAGGTAGAATTTTTCTCCAAGATAGGACTAAGTGTTTTTTGTAGCAAATTTTGTGGGCTTTCTGGAGGGCCTGAAAAAAATTTTTATACAATACCTAAGGGGGTTAAAATATTTTTTAAAGTATTGTAAGCCCATTTGCCGTTGATTTTCGAGATTCTGGATCTCTATCAAAAAAGCACTTATATACTTCATTCTTTTTGTTTTTCTACTTATTATTAATGGAAATATTCACAGGAATTTTTGCAAAAATTTTCAGCCATTTCTAATATGATTTCTGTTAGTTTTTTAAAAGTGGACGTATCATTTTTGGACACCATATTTAGATAAAATAGTTTAAACAAGTTGAAAAACTGATAATTAATTCAGAATACTAGTTTTAATCTTAATATTTTAGTACACTAAAATATTATAAAAAATATCAAAATGATTTTTTACCAATAACATATCAAAATCGGTAAAAATTAGGGTGGACGTATCATTATTGGACACACTGTACGTACGTGGCGGAAAATTACTTTGGGAAAAATTTTCTCTTCACGTTTTATGTTCTACCAAAAAAAAACTTTTGGCTATTTATTTTTGTGTATTTTTGTAGCCTTATTTAATACTTACTAAATGGAATTTAATATTTTCTTTAAATTTTACCTTCTTCCAACTGTTTTCCTATCAAAGTTTCCAACATTCTCTCCAGCCTACTCAATTTATTTAAAACCCCAGACATTTCTATTCTTTCACTTCCCCCATCACAATTTCCATCAAGAGAATTTCCATGTTCCATAATTGTATTTATTTCGTTCTGAACTAAATGAATTTCTTCTTCGGCTCGAGTTGAAGCTATACGGGCTTTAAATAAATTTTAAAAAATTATTTATTTTAAGAAATGAAAGACCACCAGCATGTCGTTCCTGCATTCTTTGAAGTAATTTCCGAATTGGATGGTCTGTTGCTATTTCCAATTTCTCAATTTTTCGCCTTTCTTCCAATTCTTGTTCTCGTTTTACATCCAAAACTTTACGAAATTTTATCTTAAAAAATTATTCTTCTTTTGTTTTTATTTAAATATATTTACTCGATTTGTCAAATTGTAAGTTAATACTAAATTTCGAGCCAATGAATTTGCAAAAGGCTTGTAAAAGCTTAAAACTCTTAAGAAAAAATAATTTTAAAGAAATTTTGGGAAAAAATGAGACTTACTGAAGTAATGGTTCTCTTTTGATGAAATGCTTTAAAAATAAAATTGTATTGAACAGAAACAATAGATATTTTTGTTAACATCACCCCAAGGGCGTATCCAGGGGGAGGGCTGAGGTCTGAAGCCCACTCCCCCTCCCAAAATGGGGGAAAGGGGGAAAATTAGGAGAAGATGGTCAAAAAAGTGAATTTTTTTCGCCTTCAACCTTCAAATTTCAAAAAATTTCCCTCTCCCCCTTTCATTTTCAAACAAACATAATCAGTTTTTTTCAGAATATAAAATATTTACATAGAAAATTAATTTTTTTATTATAAATAAATAATTAACCAAATCAGAATAAGTTAATGCCTGAACCATACACGATGATTGACCGGTTCTATTGTGTTTCCAAAATTCATCTCCAAAAACATCTCCCTTCCCGAGTATAGCCACAACTTCATCATCCTTTTTTTAATTAAATAATTAATCTAAAATTATTTATTTACCTGCTTAACCTCCAAAGATCCTTGAACTACAAACCATAAAGCATCTACAGATTCACCTGTATGGTAGAGAAGGTCGCCTAAAATTAAATTTTTTTTTGATTAAAAAAATTTTTTTTAATTATTGATGTTAATGGGTGACAAAACAAGTAAATCCTCCCTCCAAAATAACATTTAAAATTACCACAAATAGGGTTGGGGTTTTCGAGTCGGGCCGACGTTGAGTCATTTTTTCGGGCCTCATTTTTATCGGGCTGGCTGACCGAGTCTTTTTAGGGCCAAATGCCCGACCCAATCTTGCGGACCGGTCCGGATCGAGCCCTCAACCCTAACCACGAAGAACGGACCACGACGATTAATTTAAGTTGAGGTTACTTATCAAGCCTCCCCCCCCCTCCAAAATATCAAGGTATATTTAATTTTTTCGGTTTAATTATTTGCCTGGTGCCGCATGTATAGTTTCCATATTTGTAGCAAATGCCCTTTTACATCCATCAGACATTAATTTAAAACAAATGTGTTCATTAAAAACTTTTCTATTCATATGAACACACTAAATAAAAAATTTTTAAAAATATTTGTTAATTTAAAAAAAACAATGTCAGCCCGCATATCTTTCGGGCAAAAGCCAAGAACTTTATTTGATTCAATTCCTTTACTTATTGTCCAGGTCGAAACAATATAATCAACTACTTTTTCTGCCAAATCTTTGGGAATTTCTTGAAGACGAATAAATTCCCGAACATCGCTAATCATTTGATGATATCTTAGAGAAAAAGATTTTTAATCAAAAATTAATTCAACACCTCTGTGTAGAGGAAGTCATTTGTTGTATTATTGTAGTCATATGACCAAAAATGGCTGCATACAAAAGTGCAGAAATAATCATCATACAACTAAAAATATGTAAAATTTAAATTTTAAAAGGATTTTGATATTAAAAGTTGAAAAAAACTTCTCTCAAATTTATCTATATATTTATTTATTTCGGTAAGATAACTGAATAAAGGAATTGTATTAATTATTAGATAGAAGATGGATTGAGATATTTTTCTCGAAATTCGATTTGATGGATCTGGGAAGACTTTCGTATATAAGGAATCGAACCTGATCCCGAACCAAAACTTAAAAAACTTTTTTAGATCCAAATTCATAGACTTTACTAAAAATAAAGGTAAGACCTTTAAAAAACTCTGAAAGTGATTCAAAAATGGCATTCTTCGAGAGAGATCTCTCTCTTTCTTCATAACGTAACGTAATAATTATTGACTCTGATTCCCTATTTGGCTCTACTTTGTAGCTGATCCTACTTGTTTATTCTATTTTAAAATTATTAAAGAAGTACAGAATATACTAACATTCCGAATATTTTTTCATTCATAGTTGTACTTGCAATATTTCCAAACCCAACGGTGGACATACAAGACATTGTAAAATATAAAGAAGACACATAACAATGTGTTTTATCTGGACCTCCAACTAATCTACTTAGATTTGAAGCACTCGAATTAAATGGCATTTTTAAGTCATATGAAAGACGGATTAGCCAACTAAAATTTAAAATTTTTTAAAAAAATTTTCTTTAAAAATACCCATCAGCCAAAGTCTGTTCTTGAAGAAAATGAAATTTATTTCTAGCCTCGTATTCACCAATTACATACCAAATACAGGCCATCCAGTGAGCTACAAGAACATAGGCACAGAGTAAATGTAAGAGAGTTGCTGCACCATATTCCAAATAATTATCAAGTTTACGGGCAACTCTTCCTTTAAAAAAATTTTTTTTAATTTTTTTATTTGATAATGTTATCTCAACAATATTTTTAGACTATTATTTATCTGTTAATTTAAATAAAAATTCACACCAAGTCGGAGAAGTCGGACAACTTTTAGGGCACTAAATAGAGAGGCAATTCTCTACAGAAAAAATATTTTTTATTAAAAAATATTTAACAATCAACTTCATCATCCTGTTTAAACATATAAAATATATCATAAGGCAAACAAGAAAGTAAATCAATTAAAAACCAAGACTTGAAATAATTATGTCTAATTGCTTTTGGGTCTATTACTACCTTAAAAAATATTTTTAATGAATAAAAATATTTATTAATATTTTTTATTCGAACTTCTCCAACGGGGCCAACAAATGTTGTATGGAAATTAAGTAAAATATCAGCGAAAAAAATAACATCAACAACAGAATCGAGTAAAATAACATAGTCAATACCTTTAAAATCTAATGTTAATTTCAAAATTATTTTTAAAACCCAGAGGCGTTGGATCTCGATGACGGAAGGCAATATTGAATGGCACCATGAATGCCTTAAATAAATATTAAGGCTTAAATTCTAAAAAATATTTACTGTATAAAATGTGAGCGCCAGAATTGACCAGTCCCAAACTTAATTTAATAAAATTTTTATGAAGGCAAAAAAATAATTTTTAAATGATTATTAAAAATATACTAAAATTTAAATAAAATATAGCCTACCAGTTTTACTTGTGGAATAATGGAGGATGACTAAAAATAAAAAAATATGGGTCCAAAAATATTTATGTATATTCTTAGAATTTTTAAATTATTCGTAAAAATTAAATGAACTCAAAATAATAATAATTTAATTAAAGATTTTTATTTAAAAATTTAAAATTTAAAATCACTGTGTGGTGATGTTTTTGGTGTCTCGTGTCTATATTGTGGCAACACATCTCCTCCCAAATTCATTAGCTGCTTGATTGTGCGATTATTATTTTTCATAGAATTTTATTTTTATTTTTTTAATATTTTACTTTAAATTCTTTTTAAATTAATTATATAAAAAATTTAAATTTTCTTTCATTTTTTTACCTGATTAAAATTAGAGCCAATAACACTTTGTGCCGGTTTAAGATCTTTCGTCTCGATATGATTAGGAGTAAATTGCTGTCTATATTTGGCTACTCTGGCAATTTGTAAAATGCGTGAAAGACCAAGGACTGGTTTTAAATAAAAAATAAATAAATAGAAGAAATCCTTTAATTATTAATAAATATTTTTAAAAGGTGTCCAAAACTCATTAACATTTACTAGTATATTTTTGTGTTATGGATATTGAGTAGTTAAATATAATTAAAATTTTATGGCAAAATTCTCATGACTTAAATATAATAATTTTTTATTTATTTTTAGATAAAGTACTGGACTTTTTCAGTAGGAAATGTTAAATTTAGACCGCTCAGATAAGAAAATTAATTAAATTCAATAAATCTACTTACTTTTATTATTTTCGCCCTCTAACGGTTCCTTGAGAGGAGTAATATCCTTGAATTGACACAAATACAAAACTACCTAAGTTCAGTTAAAATTAAAATTTTACTAAAAATTATTTAAAATCACTTTATTTTTAATATCAATTCCCCCACTCCCTCCAACTTTTGCCGAGCCAGTTTTCTTTTCTGTTGTTTCTGAATGACCTCCCCCAACACCTGCTTCAGTTCCTGCACTCCCCATTATTGGCTATATTTATTTTTAAATTAAGTATTTTTTAAATATAATAACATACAGATATATTCATTAATAACCAAACATTCGTCTCTGAGCAAAAAAAAATAAAATAAATTATTTAATTAAAACTGACAATTTCAAATTTTAATTTATTTTAAAAGACAGATTTTTCGAGATAAAAAAATTGATAAAATCCCAGTTTTATTTTATCCAAATTTTCAAAAAAAAATTTTTTAATTTATTTACTATTCTTTTTGCAAAGGCCAATTTCAACTTGCTCTGTTTTTGCATTTTCTAAAGCATTTTGAATTTTTTGAATTGCTGACTAATAAATTTAAATTAAAAAATAAAATTGTTAAAATTTTATTTTACAGTGTCTGTGTGGTCGCTGTACATAAAGGAAAGACTAAAGAATAGATTTTTTTGAATTTTAATAAAAAGAAAAACAAACGATGCATTCTTTTGCATTGTTTCAGCACGACTATAACCAATCATTTTTGAAAAACTTCAAAGAAAAAATTTTTTGATACCGAAAATATTCAAAAAAAAACAATTGTAATTTTTGATTTTAATTTCCCTAACCGCTTTTTCTGTCCTCAATTTACTTCAATTTCTTAATAATTTCCTCAAAACGAGAGAAAAAAAATTATTAGGAACGTTTACAAATAAGTAAGTTTTGAATCCATTTCATATAAATATGATGTATTAATTTAATTTATGTACATATTTAAATGACAATTCCTTTATTAAGGACTGTTTAATTCAGTATTTGAAACCCTGGACCAAAATCGTAAAAAATTTGGAACACTAAATTATTTTGAAACACTATTTGAAATTCATAGTTAAATTGAGGACTGGAAAAAAGGGAAGAGGATCGGAATCCAAATTAACAAAAAATTCCTAAACAAAAAAATTTATATAGGTTTTAATGTCAAAATTTAATATAAACAAAAAGTATAATTAAATTATAATTTCCTCCAATTAATAAAACTTTATAACACAAACCCTTCATTGCAATAAACAATGGGATAATCACAAATTTGAGCATTTGCCAGGATAAAAGAGGATTCTATTTAAAATATTTTATTTAATGATTTTAATAGATTAATAGAATTTAAAAAATTTTTTACAAACAATAAGAAGCATTTTAAAGCAAAGATTCCGAGCCCATCTTCAGAAATACAAAATGTTATGGATTCTGAAAGTTCTCTTACCATTTAACTTTACAATACTAACTTGAAATTTTTTGATTAATAACTAAGTTGAGGAGGGGCCTTACAATTATAGAGAATTTACATATACCTAAATTTAATAGAATAAATCTTTTAAAAAATAATAATTTCTGCTTTTAACCATAAATTAAAAATAAATGTTAATCCCTTATTTTTTGTCAATAATCATTTCTTTTTTAGTTAAGTAATCTGTGCCGTCAGAAATTTTAAAGTAAGACGGAATATTATTTTTTAATAAAATGAGTGTTTTTAAATGGCGTTTATTTGTATAATTATGAAGAAAAAATAAAAATTAAAGTTTAATATATTGTAAATATGTTCGTCATAATAATTTCAAAAAATAATTAAAAATAAATACATTTTGGCGAGATTAAAATTCTATGTTATGGATTCTGAAAGTTTAATGGGAATTTCTCGTTCAAAATGAAGCTAAAAAATTTTTTAACAGGATCAAGGAATAAATCCTGCAAAACAAAAAATGTGAGAGTTTGATCCAGTAGTTCGCACCGATCACTAATTAAAACAAAAATAAATGTAACGCTTATTTAAAGGTATTTAATAAATAGAAGTATTTTAAGCTAGGGTAGCAACCCGACCCTTTGGGGCGGGTGTGTCGGGGGTCGGGGTTTACCAGGTAAGGCATGTCGGGGTTCGGGGTCGGGGTTTCGAAGTCGGGTTGCTACCCTAGTTTAAGCAATAAACTATCAATCCTCTAAAATATAGCAAAAATATTCGATTGTTAAAATAATTTTTCTAACATAAAGAATTTAAAATTAAAAAAATAAGAGTAAAACAATAAAAATAACCATATATTATTGAACTAGAACGGCAATAAAGAAGAAATAGCTTTTAGAATTTTGGCATAAACCCCTTTCCCTTTTAAGTAAAATAAGAGGTAATTGTTATTTTTGAGGTATTATTGCACTGCTGCCGTTTATTATTTCCCAATCCATTGTTGTAAACCAAAAACCCGTTAAAGTGAGTAAAAAATATTTAGAAAAAGAGGCAAAAATATTATTAATATGCATTTTCTCCTCTCACCTTTAACACAGCCTTATTTTTTTAAATACCCCATTTTTGCCAATTCTTCACAACAAATATTCTTTTAAGTACTTTTTTTATTTTCACTCAATTTTTTCAGGAAAAAGCAGAAACTGAGCCTTTTTAGAAAAAGGGTCAAAGGACAAACAATATTTATTTTGGATAAGTAGAAGGAATGGAAATATAATTTTTTTATTTTTTTAATAACAATTAAATAATTTTAAATATGTAAAAATTAACAAAAATAAATTTAACTAAATAACAATAAAATATAATTACTAAATATGTGAATACAATGTACATATTTTTTGAATTTTTCATTAGTATTAAAGTTCCCAAAAATATTCAAAAAACTGTTCAACTCTCGAAATGGCGAGAAATATAAATGGAAATAAAACTCTCTCTTGGCAACAAAAATATTTTTTGAATTTTCATAATTTAGAAAAAATTTAAGCTTGGCCAGCTTAATAATTATAATTAATTTGTATATTTTGTTATAAATAAATTAAAATATTATTTTTGAGAATTGTTTCCATTTATTTTACTTTACTAAACAAGTAAAAGGTTTAGAAATATTGAGAAAGGAAGGAATAAAAAAAGATATATTTTTTTCAACAAACCATTTTGCGCAATATATACATACAATTTTATTTTTTATAAAAAAAATATATTAAATGTCTGTCAATAATATTTTTAAAGCTTTTGCTTTCTCTAACATGCTAAAAAAGTGGAGGTAATTTTTTGTAATTTTAAGAGGACTATTTATGGAGTTATTTTATAGTGCTTCCCCAAAATACTTTTTTCTTAATAAATAACTGCTTATACATAAGTCTATTAAATTAATTTTGCTTTAAATAAAGTCACGGAAATATTGGAGAACATTTTATACAAGAAAAGTAATTTAACGTAATTTTTCTTTTATATTCGATCAAAGGGAAAAGAAATATGTTTTGGCATCAATATATAGTTCAATTAAATGTACAATTAAATGAAGTTTTGAAAATAACAGATTTTCAGAAATTATAAATGTATTTACAAATATTAAAATAATTTTTACAAAAATTATGAAGAATACTTCATTAATTATAACTATAAAAAAATATGAATTTTGGTTTAGAGAACCCCTTTTTAGTGTTTCTAAATAATTGAAGGAAAAATATTCAAGCAAATGAGAATTCCATTAAAAAACATTTTATACATCATAAATACCATTCCTTTAATATAAATATTTAAGTATCTACATATATCCATTACATACTCCTGTTTATGAATTGCCTAGCAACCAAACAAAAACGTCTTAGGATGTTGGAAGATAATGACACTTTTAAATAATAACTACACCTTTAAAAAGGGGGATAAACTGAATTTTTTGAATGATGAAACTTTGCAATATTGATCAATTCTTGTTTAAATTGATTATAGATTTTTGTTAAAAAACAATATACTATTTAGTTGTCTTAATTAGAATTTTAATATTATTATAATTTACATATGTTTATTAAATAAGAAAAATAAAATAGATATCAGTTCTCATTTAAAATTCAAAATTATTACAAAAAATACTTATATTTTTAATACAAAAATACAACATAAAACAAAAACTTTTAAATATGAAGTTAAAATATTTTAATAGTAACTTTGTCTTTTATTAATTTAAAACTTAACACTCAAAGGAAATTAAACACGTGAAAACTAAGTGAAATAAAATATAAATCAGTAATATTTTCCTAAAATGTCGAACTTCGACAATAATATTATCCATTGATTTTCCACGCGGAGCCCGCATCAAACATGGATAGTGGGCGATATCATGGAATTTCGGCAAAGTAAGATTTTCGGCGGGCTGTCAGCAAAATCGAGGTCGAGGTTTGAAATTACCGGTACTAAGAAGGATTAATCAGCTTGGATTAATCAGTTAATCAGCTTCTTCTACTAAGAACTAAGAAGAAGCTGATTAACGAAAATAACTTTGATTTGATGATGATCACACGCATTACTGTCAACTAATGCCCAATAGCAGCACGGATGATGAATAGTTTTTAGTAAAAGTATTGTTTCTATTAAAATTATGTTAAATACTGTTTTAAAAAATTACTCGATTATTCGAACGCGAACTCGACCTAAAAAGTTGAACTCGGACTCGGGTTTTTCAAACTCGGCATACTCGAGCTGGACTTTTTCCCAATTACCGGTACTCGAAGTACTCTATTTTATGGGTGTATCTTTAGCCTCGGTCCTCGGCAAGGTTCTTGGCAAGGACCGAGACCGAGGTTCCAAGACGCGAGGTCAGCAAAATCGAGGTTGAGGTTTGAAAATGGGCGAGGACCTCGGCCTCGACCTACTCCAGTTAGAACAAGAGAAATGGAAATCAAGTACACGGTTCCTTGTGGTCACTCCTAAAATGCCGGAGAAAGGATAGGATATAGTTCCCGTTCTTATTCTTACGCTTGCTTTAGAAAAATTAAAATTTCGAAACAGATCTATTAGACTTGGGTTATTAATCGTGATAGGACTCACGAGTTTAATTGTGTAATAAAGGAAGAGGGGCGAAGAGTGATGAAATAAACAAAGAGGAGTGAAGATGGAGCGTAAAAAAGAGGGGAGATCTCGACTGGCTATAGAGAGAGAGCGTAAAAAAGAGGGGAGATCTCGACTGACTATAGTAAAGCAAGCGTCGAATTAGTTTAATTAATTCATTTATTATTATATTAATTAAGTCAAAATGTTAAAACAATTTGTTTAAAATTAATTTTGTTAATTTACTCTAAACAAGTATTTTGCTCTATTGGAAGACATT